GAGAGGCGGCGGCGTTGGGAGGGCTGGGCCTTCTTCCCCCCCCCTCCCCCCCTAGACTCCCACAGGTGGCCCTGATGCGCCTGGTTGTTGGAATAGTCAAACGCCAGAGTCTGCAAAGTGGTGTCGTTGGGTAGATCCACAGCAACTCCAAAGTAGTCGTAGGCAGGGTCGTTGAACTGGCCGGAGCTGAGTCATTTTGGCAGCATGGGCTTGCCTGCCGAAGCCAAAACAATGCGAGCCAAGAACTGTGGCATTCACTGGATGAAACATTGCATGTGTATGTCCTGTAAAAAATCGCTGTGTTGAGTGGAAGCAAAAGAAGACATTGCATGCACGTGCTATAAGCCTGTGGTATGTGCAGAACAGTTCCGTGTGTAAGTGACAGCTGCAGTATGATGTGCTTGTTTAAATGACTTGCATATTTGTCCATTGCCCAATGAAATATAGCGACCAGTAACCCCTTTCGGCAAGGGGGGGTGCCCCTCCCCTTGGTGGGCGGTTTCGTGCTTTTCGAACTTGCGCGGCCCGTACCCAGAAGCATGCTCAATCCATGCGGACCAAAGGGTCCAAGACCCAGCCTCAGCTGTCCACTGACTTGGGGCGGGGGCAGAAGAGAAGAAGAAAAGAAAAAAAAGAAGCTCAGCGGACACCAGCGCATCCACAACCATCCGGATCCCACAAGGCCCCTTCGGTGAGCTTGGTGTTACCCCAGATCCTGTTTTGTCGCACGCGCATTGGGGCAGAGAGCAATGCGTTCATGAACCTGGCCAGCGGCTCCAAAGTTCCAACTAATATTTCATGTAAACGTGTGCCTAGTTTGCCTGTGTATATAGATATAAAGAGAGGGAAAGAGAGAGACAGGGGAATGCTCCAAATATAACTTGCATGCCATGCATATGGGCATGATTCAAAATCAAAGAGCCAGGGTTACGCATTTTTTAACCTTTGGTTTCACTTGCCAAGATGCCAATTTGGTAAATCTTTTGAGCCACAGCCATATATCGAAACTCTCATCCCACTCACGCCTGACCGCCGGACAAGAGCAGCTGAGGATTCTGCCGCACCGCGTCAGGGGGATTGCACCAGTCCCCCACCACCGTGGTGTCAATGGGCCGCTCGTCTCAGCACGCTGTCCCTCTCTCAAGCTCAAATGGTCCCTGATTTCCCACTGGGGTTCTCTTGGAGTTTGCCATCCTAATTGAAAAGGTCCCTGACTCACCGGGCTGCTCTTGGTGTCCATGTTCCACCAGCAGCCAGCTTGGGCTCTTGGGGTGCCCCCTCACACAGACTCCCCGAAACCAGCTTCAAAAAAAACATCCATGGTCAAAAACACCGCGCAATACCCAAAAAGCCTCTTTTCACTTTCCCCCCACAAGAAAAACAGCTCCAAACAGCCCAAAGGGCCCCTGACTATGACTTCACCCCCCTCCCCCCCAACCCAATTCAACGTTGGCCGGGCCACTGTTCAGCAGCGACACTGCGCAGCTGGCGCCGCTGCGGATGGCCTCCAACAAACCTCCGATGTCCATGGAGGCCCCGTCACCCAGGTAGAACTCCTCGAAGGCGAAGGAGAAAACATGAGAAGCTGAATATGAACTAAAAACCTGCGATCATACAAACGAAGAAAAAAATGCGACATAGGATACTGAAAATATGGGGAAAAAATGTTGAGAAAAATCCATGTGTCATATATCGCAGATATCTAAAACGCTAACACAGTTGAACATGAACTGATCGAGAGATAACAAGAGATAGATTATGTATGATAAGATGCGATATGGTATGACCACACCTACCATGCCAGCATCCTTACGACATCAGCTGCACTATGGATGTGTTGTTCACCCCTTCTTCACCGGACTGCAGGACCTTGGCAACAAATACGTCCCAGTTTCAACAGCCTCCGATTGCCCCATCACCCTACACTAGATGTTCAACCTACGTGCTAAGTATCTTACAATGGTTATTAGTGTGGGACAGGGGCTGACTGACCCAGAACCCATGCTAGGCTATAACCTACTTTGCAACACTAAAGGCACCCGCGTGGTTGGGCAAATGACAACCCCCAGTCGCTTTTGGACCCACCAAACCCCCAGATTGACGACGCCCTTCTCTGCTGTGGATGCTCGGTTTGGGTCCTCATCTTTGCGGAGGTGATTGCGAAAAGTCCAAAAGTCCAGAAGCGGGAAAGTCGAACTTCGCAAAATCAAAAAACGACAAGTGGAAAAGTCACAAAGTCAAAAAGTCAAAAAGCCGAAAAGTCGAAAAGTCGAAAAGCCGAAACGCGAAAGCCGAAAAGCGAAAGCCGAAAAGCGAAAAGCCGAAAAGCCGAAAGCCGAAAAGCCGAAAGCCTAAAAGCCAAAAAATTCGCAAAGTAGAACAGGTGAAACTATCAAAAGCTGTTCGGCAATTCGTGCAGCTCAATCATGGGTGGAAAAGAATGCCAACAAATAGAACCCCATCACACAGCCTGGTGGAAACATCACCCCTCGGGGAACCCTGCCAAAAACAGGACTTACAACTCTGAAAGCTCGGCAATGCGCATTTCAGATGAGGCCTTCGCGCTGCACCCTTAAAACCATTTGAATATGTCTGGCTGCGACTCTGTTCCCACGACTTGCCCTTGCGTGCCTTAGCAAGCTCACTGCCAGTGTCACGGAAACACCGCATATATCACCTGAACGCAGTGGCACTGGGTACAGTACATAAGGCCGTTCAATGCTTCAAAGCTCCCACGCATTGACACAAATACCCACCGCCCAAAATTTGACAGTGCCACAGACTGAATTGCATTTCCTCATCTACTGCAAACGACATGAACTCCATGACATTCCAAAACTGTCCCGCGGCGGCGCTGGAAATTTCTCCGAAAATGCCTGCGAGCGACGCGGCCGCAAAGCGCTAAAGCCACACAGCAATACATCCCGTCTGTGCAATGAAAACTTCACTTGACGTGGCTTGAAACTGCAAAGTGCTCCTTTTAGTACTTCCACAAATGTCCGTGTGCAATGTGCCCCTTAATAACGCGCAGGCGACCCCAGTCTGTGTTCTCCGAAAATGCCTGCGAGCGACGCGGCCGCAAAGCGCTAAAGCCACACAGCAATACATCCCGTCTGTGCAATGAAAACTTCACTTGACGTGGCTTGAAACTGCAAAGTGCTCCTTTTAATACTTCCACAAATGTCCGTGTGCAATGTGCCCCTTAATAACGCGCAGGCGACCCCAGTCTGTGTGACTGTTCTGTAACGCGTCGAGATGCTACACAGGATGCTCTAAGAAGGGACATTCGCAGTTCTGCAATTCGCAGCTGCGGCAAAGCTTGCAATACCTGTGAACGAATTTTACAGGCACGATTTGGCACAGACGGCCTGCACGCGCCGCTGTTCTGTATTGCGCCAATGGACTGCAGGTCTTCAGCGAAGGTGCAATCGCTAGCTTGGAAGCGTTTCTTATCAAAGCCATCCAACCGGTGTTGTTTTCTTCCAGAACATGGCAAGTTGATTGGAGACGCCATGGCTCAAAGATTTGCTGGTTGATTCTATTTCTGGAGAACAAAACAGTTGACGCCTTTGAGAAATGACAAAAGTTGAAAAGAAGAAAATCGAAAAGTCACAAAGTTGAAAAGATGAAAAGGGGAAAGCCCAAAAGCCCAAAGTCGAGTTCAAAAAGTTGAAAAGTCCAAGAGCCGGAAAAAAATCGGAAAGTTGATTCTACTTTTCTCCTTTTCTATTTTCTGTCTTCTATTTTTCTTACGTTTCTAGTTTTCCCACTTTTCCACCTTTCTGCGTTTCTGCGTTTCTGACTTTTCTACGTGTCTACGGTTCGCTCTTGTCTACTTTTCTCACTTTTTACTTTTCTACTTTGCCTACAGTTAGACCAGGGCGCATTCCTTTTCTGCCCCCCCCCCTCGAAGAAACAAGCACAAACAAAACCAAATACAAAAGCGATGTCAAACTACAAAAGCTATTGCCAATATATACTTCTGCAAATACAATTTGCCCTTATGATTCCGAGGATTGTCCTTCCAGATCTCGACACAATTAGCCAGAAGCAGCAATGACTTATTCACGGCCCTTTCCACTGGTAGCTGCTCCCCCCCTTAGATGACAAATGAAAAGAGAAACACCCATCCAGTGGTTTAGGGTAGCTGCCCCCTCCCCCCCTCAAAAAACAAAAACCTGAAAAGAGACACGCCAAACGGTTTCCCAGAACGTCAACCACAGGACGCGCTAACTCACAGGGCCAATCCGATCCGATCGCTTCGGATCGCTCCCTGGCGGCGGTGTCCCCGAGCTTGCGGGAGGCCACTGGCCAATACAGCCGCGTCGGGGTAAAGAGGAAGGGGTCCAAATCCAGTTCTGCGCTGATGTTCCTCAGTCAGAGGGCTTCCGGTCTATATTTATCTATGTTTAATAGATATATACATATGTGTGGTTGTTGTTGTTTCTGTTCTTGTTTTTGTTTTTGTGTTTTTTCGGGGGGGGGGGGGGTTGTGGTCTGGAGGTTTCTTGCCAAGGGTCCCTTTTACCTTGAGGGGTGTGTCCACCAAACATGCTTGAGGATGTTCTCATTGAAATGCAAAACCCTGCACCCAAAGGCAATGTTCAAAACATCACCTAAACAATAGGGTGCCCTGAGCCACAAACCTGCGTGTTTGTGCAATTACAACCAAACAAATGCTCTCTCTCTCTCTCTCTCTCTCGCACTCTCTCTAGGAATAAATCTGTTGGGTCACAACAGTACCAGCCAGTATAAGATAAGGAAGGTGACCCAACATGCCATCTCTCACCTCTCTGTCCCTCTCCTTTTCCATTTTTGCAGCTCTTGAAAATAGATTCAGATGGAAATGCCAAGGGGAGAGACAAAGAGGACTTTCTCTGAGACCTGATTACTGTTCCCTTCCACATCTCTTCGCAAGTCAACTGCCAAACAAAGGAATACCGAAAGCAGCGGCAGGGGACTGGCCGCCCGTCAAGCGTCGGTCCCTTCCCACCAGAGCCAGCAGCCCACACCAAGTCACCACAAAACCAATACAAAAGATCTGCTTTTCAAGAAGCGAAACATGGAGCCTCGCAAGTGTTGGCTAGGGCCAATGCCCAGCCCGCTAAATCGACCAGTTGTGACAGGAGGCGGTACACTTTTTTGCGGCGGCGGAATCAGAGCAATGATGGCAAAAACTGCAGGATGCACAACGGCTCATGTCACGCTGCACAATCCACATGCAGCGAATGCTATTATACACATAGCTGGCCTGCATTGATGAAAGCGCCTCATGCGTGCATAAAACCGTATCCAATCAGACACAAAATATTTGCATGTCGGCCTCAGGAATACCCGTGAAATGAAACTAAGCAAACATGGCAAGTGATAATCCTGGTTGAATAAAGCTGCAGAATGTTTTGAACCGGCACCTCCCCATAGCTCAGTCGCTAGCGCGTCCAGCCTAATGCGGCCCAGCAAACAAAACCAGGCTCATAGCTGTCGCAACCCTGCTCGTTCGCATTCCTCGCGCCGAGTCACGCGAGCTTCCTCATCAGCACGGAGCCTGTCGTCTTCCGTCCAGCGCCTTGCGGACCACTCTTGCTGGTATCACTCTCGTGCCTCTTGCGCCAGCGCGTGGCGCGCCTTGCGCTCTTGCTGCTCCTGAGCGCGGCGAATGGCGGTATCGCTCATCGTTTTCTACCTCGGCTGCGTCCGGTTTTTGCCCCACGCCGGACGCGGACGATGAGCAGCCGGTGGCAGGAGTTGTCTCTCTCGCCCAAAACAAGTCGAGGGGCTCAAGATACTTCGTCCTCGCTTTGTGACGGAGGCGTTGTTGCGGAAACTTGTTGCTGAGGGTCGCTGCAAGATGCCGCAGGAGCCTTACTCCAGCGCAGCTGTGTCCAAAAAGACAATCGATCTTCCAGTATCCTGGCCTCACAACGTCCTTCAAGAGCTTCTTCTTGGGCGTGTTGACCGACATCGTCACTGCGACCTGCCGCCATTGCAGGAGCTGCTCATGCAGCACCGCCGCAGCTTTGGTGATGGTGGGATCACTCATGCGCTGCATATTGAAGAGCCTTTTGGCCACGAGCCCGCAGCTGGCAATATAGTCAGCCAAGAAGCACTTGGGTACGCTGAGGGTGCGCCCCTTGCCGTGAGCAGAAATATTGCTGACATGCTCGACAGTGACCTTGGAGGCTCCCTTGTTGACCAAGGTGTCGTCAGCTTCTCTGTCGACATGATCACGGCGCGGCAAGCTGCCACCTCGCCCCGCGCTCCGTTCAATTTCGGGGATATCCTTCGCAAAACCCAAGATCAAGGCCAAGCGCGTCAGCAAGCAGGACAATGTGAAGTACGCAAGTACGCCTTCGGAGGCCGCAGTAACCACAAGAATTCGGCTGACGCTGGCCGAGGCAGCTTCTTCTAATGCAAGAATCCTCCGCAGTAAGCAAACATGAGCTCCGTGCGCTAAATGGATCCTGACACATGGTATCCCCAAACGGTCAGTTGCGACAGTGCAGAGGCAGCACTCTTTTGTGGAGTAAAAGCCACGCATGCACAACACTTCATGTCATGCTGCACAGTCCACATGCAGCGAATGCTGATGTACACATGGCTATCCTTCATTGCTGAAAGGGACCTCATGTACGTCCCTACCACCCGCCCCCCACCCCACCCCCCATCCCCCACCCACCCCCCATCCCCCACCCCCCACCCCCCAACCCCCACCCCCCTCCCCCGGCCCCCCCACCCCCACCCCCACCTGCTAACCTAGACAAACCGGACCGAGCGGCAGGCCCGCCCCCGCAGCAATGAGCTTCAGCAGATCTGGGAAGGCCAGGCCCAGCAGCGACAGCACAGAGGAGCTGAAGGCGGAGGCCTGCGACTCGACGGGCCCAGGTGGGTTGGCCGTTGGTTTGGGTTCGGTTGGTTTGGTTTGTCCAATTTCCCAGCGGTTTGGTGTGGTTTGGTTAGGTCCGGTCCGGTGGTTCCTTGATATTTTGGCCGGTGTTGTGAGGTTCCGGCTTCCAACTTACCCAGAATCAGGGCCCCTTCCAACAAACAAACCGATTGGATTTAGCGGACCTATGCGCCGGAGGTCGAAGAAATCGGGCTTAAATGGGCAAAGGCACCGTCCAAAAGGCATGAGGTTTAACAAACAAGGTTTGCGCTTAGAAGGACCTTGTCCAGAGCTCCGAGTCCGCGGGTCTGAGCTCGGGCGCCGGAGGGTTCCGGCGGCAGGCTTCATAGAGTGGGCAGGGTTTGGAAGGTTCCAGGGTGGCATTCCATGAAGGGTTCCGCAGAGTTGTTCCAGAACCCCCCAAAAAGTTCTGGCGCCTGCTGTTGGGGACCTGGGCTTCATCTTGCCCAGGAGATGGGGTTGGCACCACCCAGTGGTTACACCAGGACTGTTTTAACGGGGTCTCACTGTAAACTGCCACCATTGCACCATTGCCTGGTTTAGCATTCTTCAAACAACCTCCTTCGGGTGTCCCTTTGGCTTATTGCTTAAAGAACATTTGGACAAATCCTGCCTGCTGCAAAGACACCACCTGAGTCGCCAACCGATGCATATGCTTGGTGCCCTTGGACCCTACGGACCCTGTGGACATCATGGGGGCTTGCGGCTTCGGAGGCTCCGCACACGGCCTATCCCTGCCCAGCGGCGCCGGTGTCGACAAGGTCGCCGCCCGCCAAGTATCCGCGGCCCGCCTACCGATGTTCATACGCCGGATTGGGCGAGGCAAACACGGGTGTCTCGATATGGTAGACCCCGATCCAGAAAAAAGAGTTTGATTTCCGTGTGGGTTCCCTGTCAACCAGCCCCAGTACGGGGTATCCCGAAAAAGAACCATGCCAAGACGCACAAACGCAAGCGACCAGTGGCTGGCGCATCCCAGAGTCCATTTTGGGGTCATAGGTGAGCTCGACTTCAGACACAGGCATGCTCGTTGATGGGGTTCACCATCCCCTATCCCCAGATCCCTTCCCTCATTCCCTTCTGAGCAAGAAAAGGCTCGTCTCTCAGCTCGCTGGGTGCGCCTGTTTCTTGTCCTGATAAGGGGCAGTGGTGGCCATGAAGGCGAAGGAGGACACCACGCCGCCCCCCACCACCACATCCGGCAAACCTCGGGGACCCAAACGAGGCCGGCCAGGCCACAGCCCGGAGCCTTTCGTTCTGCGGTGAGACACGGGCCGATCCGAAGAGTCTGCGTTCTGATCTCTATGACTTTGTCTATTCCAATGATTTCCGTGGCTGACAGAAAGTGGCTGCAAAGTGTCCAACCATGGAGAGAGGGAGAGAGGAGGCAGAACAGAATTTCTGACTGACACACTTGCTACACTCTCAACAGTACGCAGGTGATGTCGTCCAACATGCCTCTGAATACACAGGCTCATGGGCATCCCACTCATACAGTTGCCAAGCTTTCCTGGACAGCAATGAGGAGTGAGGCGTGCTGACAAGAAGAAGAACAAAAGATAAAATGAAAAAAGGTATCAGAGTTGCACAGGGTTGGGATAGGGGCCAGAAAAGCACGGCTATGGGCGTCCTCATGCGCTGCAAAATACACAAGGTCAGCGATGCTCAGTGGCTGGAGAGGTTCTCGAATAAGGTCGTGTTGATGGGATCAAACTGCACCGTCCTCGGACCAGTCCGTAGCAAACAGCTCAACAGAAGTCTCCCCACCCCCAGCTGCATGACAGGCCAGCCAGAACCCACAAAGGTTCTTCTTCCATTGCTCGTGCCAAAACCCACTGCAAAAAGTTCGGCTGGGGGTGACCCAGCGGCCAACCGCCTAAGGATGGTTGGATTGCGTCAAAGTTGGGAATCGGAGCCCCAAAAGCCCCAAAATGGTCCGTCTTCTTCTCCTTCTGGGCTGCCTTTAAAACCGAAAAAGAAACGCGCACAAGAAGGCTGGCCGAGCTGCTTGCAGTCCGCAATGTACGGGCTGCCCGAGTAGTCAGCACTGAACCGCACCGAGACCATGCCCTGGCCCTTCCTGAGCAGACCCAGTGGCATGGGGGATGGGGCTGGCTGAGGCCTCGCTCATACGTGCCTCATGTTAAGTTAGAAACCGTGCAGCCAATTTGACCTTTTCCACGGATGCATGAAGCAGCGGGCCGGGAGGCCGCAGGTCGCTCTGCGTGTTGAAGCTGAATGCGCCTCCATCACCATCATCGCTGAAGCAGTTGCATGAAGGTCGCTCTCGTCCAATCAAAGAACGCATGCGCCTAGACAACTGATTTCTGCCGGACCTTGATGCGTGCGCGCATGTCAGTGAGATTCTGCAAATCCCCAGGAGTGGTTTCAGGCTCCCCTCTTAGGTGCTAGCTCTCCTCACTCTCGCTTTCCAGTTCTGCCAGGGCCACTTCCGCCCGTCTGTGCTCCCGGCAGTCCCCCTCCCGCAGCACGCGGCGCAGGGCGCCCTTGGCGCCTGAGCGGCGCAGCACTGCGCGGCGCCGGGCGGCGCCCGCGCCCGAGGCCAAGTTGGCCAAGGCCGTTGCGGCCCAAACCCGCGCCGGGGCCTCGGACAGGAGCTGCACCAAAGCGCCGGCGTGGTCCGCGATGGCGTCCTTGTTGGCCTCGTGGTTGGCCGCCAAGTTGCACAAAGCTGAGGCAGCCTCCTCTGTGTCCTGGCCAGCCTGGATCAAGTCAACCAGCACTGTGATGGCCCCTGCGTTGGCAATGAGGCACTTGTTCTCGGAGTCACAGGCCAGGCGGCCAAGAGCGGCAACCACCCAAGCGCGTGCCACTGTGCAACGTTCTTTTGCCATCTGCCTCAACAAGTCTACCAACAGCTGCACAGCCCCAGAGTCGGCCAGAAGACGTCGGTTCGGGCCGCTATTGCAGGCCAGGCAGCCCATGGCAAAGGCAGCCCTCTCCAGTTCCTCTCCGCCAGTTCGCAGCATCTGCATCAGCATGTGGCAGGTGGCAGCATCAATGTCCTCTGCCCGGCTGGCCAGCGACACGGCCTTGTGGCATCTGGCAGCCGAAGTGCCCCAAGCGCCGGGGGTATTTATGGGGTCTGAGGCATCCTCGCGCTGGCAAAACACAACCAGGACCCAGCGTTCCCCTGCAGTCACCGCATGAGACTGGTGCCAAACCAGGTGGTCCAACAGGCACAAGTCGCCAGCACGCAGCTGGTAGAAGTGTACCCCCTGGTCCCAAACGCTGATGCCTCCGCCGGAAAAGCCCTTGGGGCTGTGAAGCTGCAGAATCAGAGACGCATCCACGGTGGGCCCATCCACGTGCCGCGTCAGGTGGGTTTCGCCACTCGCGGCCGAGTAGCGCGTCACGAAGGATTGCGCCCGGCGAAGGCCGCAAGCCGAATTTTCCGGCCGCAAAGTGCGCCACCAGGCGCTCAGATCCAAGGTGAGCCGGTCCAAAATGGGAGCCAAGACCTGTCCAGGGGAACTTGCCAAGGTTTTTAGGGGTACCTACTTGGAGGGCCCCCAATTCCAATCCTTTTCTGAGAAACACACCTGGCACAGGGGTGGGTGCTCCACGGCCCCAGGCATCATCAGGTCTGGCTGGTCTGCAAGCTCTGCGTAGCAGGAAATGTCCCAGCGGCCCTTTGCATCCAAGTAGGAGGTGCGGCAAGGAGCGTAAGCTGCCTCAATGTGGGGTGATAATGCCCTCAGCTCTTCGAACCAGCCTGTTCTCACCACTTTATGTGCACCCAGGCGCCTCCTCTTGCAGCAGACCCATGCAAGCTCTCGCTGCATTAGTTCACCATCATCTCACACGTTCGTCGCGCCCTTGCTCGAGCCCAAGCTTGTGCTGAACTGGTGAGTCTCCAGACCTATGCTGGCTTTTCCTTCTCTGTAGATGCGAGAGGGTCATGCCACCTTCCGATCGACTGTCAAACCCATCATCGTCCACTTCATTGATTTCCCTTGGCGCTTTCCTTCCCGAAAACGAAACAACCCACGAGCTAGATCGATACACCACGCAAAATCACACAAGTCACCTCTTCCAGTGGCTTGCCTTGCCACTTGCCATGCCGAGCAAAAAGTCTTACAAAGATCACAGGATCCCTTTGCCCTGACCCCTTCCTGCCCCCTGTTCCCCGTAGGGCTTTGCCATTCCGGCAAACAGGGCCTTGCGAAAAGGTGAACCAAGAAGTCACAGATCCACCAAAGCCAAACCACCAATCAAGTGTCCAGCCACCAACCCACCAAGTCAACGCCTACTTATGGCCATATCAAGCCTCAATCAAGAGAGTCCCCAAAATGAAGGCGACTGCCCATCCACCCTAAAAAGGGGACACCCTCACTCGGAACCTGCCACTTGAAGAAATGAAACATCGCCTTCGCTCCGAGGCTCGGCAGGTATCCCTCCGGCGACAGCAGGGAGGCCTGGAGAACAAAGCCTGAGCAACAAGGTCGGGGTCACGCGAAAAAGGTCTCCTTGCATCCATGTGTGACTTTTGATTGCCCAACTGTGGAGTGAGTGAATTGCCCGGCACAATATGAAGAGGGACCCTCGTGAAAATCGGCACACACGTCCAGCTAAAAAGGCGGGCGTGTCTCCCCAAACCAGCACCTGTTCTGACTCGTTCCTACAGGGCGCAAGCTCTTAAACAGTCTGACAGCTACTTCTTGCACTATATATATATATATGTGTGCAAAGGCGGGCTGACATGACACCAATTTGAAGCCCAGGAGCTGTGCACATCAGTCCTGGAGTGAGTCGCAATCCGGTAGAACTCTCTACAATTTATGATTTGAGACTGCTATCGCTCCTTTGTGAGAATCGGTGAATGGGCTGACAACACTCTCACGGCAGCACTGCCGCCTGCACGAATAATACGACCCACCAAACTGAATTCAAAGAGTGTGCAGACCGCAACCCTTCCGGCCTTTGCCGGATCAGTGCGTTGGACAAATCCAGGTCGTTGTGCTGATTGCCCTGGTCATGGATGCCTCGGAAAGCATTGAACCGAAAGAGTTACCACTGGGTGTTGTTCAAAGGTGATTAATGAGTCGGACGTCTTCTCCTGTCAACTGTGAGGGCGAATCAGAATATCTCGCTTTGCACCTTTCAGAAACCATCAGCAAACCCTGGCCACTCGTTGGTAGTTGGTAACCTCCGCTCGACCGATCAGAGGCTTCCGCCAAAGCAATGCACAAGGACCTGCGAACTCTCCACTTTCAGGCTCCAACTGCAAACTTTGTGAGTCTTTGAAGGCCCGAAGTACCTCAAACCAAACTGCATGAATCCTCCAGGCGAGCTCTTTGCACAAAGAGAAGCAATCCGCGATGAAGGACTTGTCTTGGCCAGAAAACTCGATGCCAGTCAAGGTCAGTTGGTCCCACTCTTGGGAAATTGGTGTTTTTTTGGCTTCTCACAAAGCATGTTGCCCCAAAGTGGAAAGGCCGGTCTTCTTTCAAAGGCTTGGTCGAGCACAAGCGCGCTTCAGGGCTACAACTGGTATTGACCACTGAAAGAGGTGCTTGCTTGTTCTTTTCCCCAGTAAGAACCATCCAGAAAGGGGATTCCAACTGACTCAGCACTTCCACATGTCACGACTGGTCTTTGCTGGATCCGACATACGCTCTTTGGCGGAGTGTTCGATTGAATCTGCAAAAGGTGATAATTCTTGCTTGCTCGCTCGGGGGGTCAGGGGGGACCCACTCAGACACATTTGGCAGTTTCCTTTTGGTGCCCCTTTAAAACCACAACACAAGGAATATCCCCAAGCACGACTAACTCTTACAGCCGCAGAACCGACTGAAGGGCCCACTGTTGGGGCTTGAAGGATGGTGCAGGCCTAGGGTTGCCCATCATTGAATACGAAAGCACACTGTGAGGCACGTTGCTTCAGCAAGCATGAGGCAGCATGGGTTTTGGAGGTAGGGTATGTAATGGAAACCACCAAAAATGAAAAAAAATGTGCGGGTTTGGCAGTAAATCCACAGGTAGCTCCAGACCAAAGATCCATACCTGAAATCTCCTCCGAGACATCGTCCAGGGAAGACCTATATGAGTTCCTCAATTCTGTCTGCTAAAGGCAAGGCGCGTTTGAGCTGATCCTTGGTCTCTGCAAAGACTTGGTTCGTGTTGTTGTTCCAGCAAATGCCTCCAAGAGCACATGTATGAAGCTCAATTGGTTGGACCCTTGGAGAGCATTTTAACAGTCCACTGTCCTCTCTCGAGGCTAGTTTTGATTGATATTCATGGCCACATACCTGACTATCAAGAATGCAGAGTAGTTCTGTTGCATGGCTATCATCCACACGCTGACAGCCCATGCTGGGTTGTACAAGCTGACCGCCAAAGTGCCCCAAACCATCTACCCGACCTCGACCAGGTTTATTCCTATTGGCCCTCAGTTCAACTGCAATGCAGTCTCACCACCTACACAACGATTGTTCAATTCGATTCAAGCAGTCATGTGAGCAATGGACAACATGATTTACTTAGGGTTCATTCAATTTGAGTATTCCCCTCCAGTCTCAAAATGGTGAGATTGGGTAGTCCCCGTGTCTTCCCGGACAATTGCTAGCAGTTAGCTCGAAGCAACCCAAGGGAAAGTGTAGCCAATTCGCGAAGTGATACAAGCGAATTCATAGCTTACCTCCATTCCACCCGCAGTCATGGTGCACATTTGACGGGATAAACGGCACTTGCAGAAAGCTGACTCGAAAGTTTTGTGGCACGTCAAGGCCTCTACAAGGCTGAGTGCCTTAGCATTGATGACTGTGTCTCAAGTCTTTGAGTAATTAGCTAGCCAAATGCTCAACTTCGTTTGTTGCAAACCATGGCCCCCTCTCTCTCTGCGAATAAGGTACTGCAAGCGCGACGTATGAGTTGCTTCACATACCTTTGGAAAGGCCGATGCTTTTGTGCATGAGGCTCCTTCTTCCCATTGCAACCTGACCCTTTTCAAAGTTGAGGTGAGCCAGGAAAAGAGACCAAAGTCCGGCCATCGAAAGGAAACAGGTATTCCCCGCAAAATCCCAACCCGCCCCCCACCGCCCACCACCCCCCGCCCCGATATCTGTGCCGTGCAAGCCTGAAACAGGCCAGACAGGCAGCTCGCCGTTGATGCCGAAGGGGCAGAAGTAGGTGGCACCAACGGCCTGCGTTTTGATTCAGCTCGGGCGAATGGAAGGGCAACTGACCATTTTGCCAAGAAGGGGCCCATTTTGAGAACACATACTTCTCCCGCGCAGACACCGGAACGAGCCATACCACGAGGTGCTGAAGAAGGTGGCGGCCGGAAAAGCTAACCGCCTGGGGCCTTGACTCCAATTCGACCTTCAACCTTTGAACATTGTATAACTTTGAACGCGCTTTTCCTTCACAAGCCAGTTTTGGAAGCTGTTTGCAGGAAAACCAAGAGCTTGGAGGAGCCCTTGAGTGTGAGACACACCCAAAAAAGCATGAACAAGGGGGGCACCTTGGCTTGGAAAAGCAACGCCATTGTTGGGCGCGATGGGACCGATTGGCCCGATTCAAGCGCACAGGAGTGCACACATGCATATGCAAACAGAAGAATCGCTGAATTGGGCATCTGTCCACTGCCAAAACGACTCTGCATATATGTGTTTATCATCACTCCTTCAAGGGTCCGACAATGTTGAACACATTACGCCTCCCGGTGTCAATCCTTTCGCATCCGGGCGCCTTCTCGTACACCTCGTGGTAGGAAATGTTGCTGTAGAAAGCCGCAACCTCGACAGGTTTGAGCCAGAATCCAAGGGGCCAGGGCATTGATTTTTTTGCGGAGGATGGGGAAGGCCGGCAGGTTCACAGGCGGTGTGTGCTTCACAGGCCTTGACCCCTCTGTAACCATGGATTCCCGCTGCTTGTGGAAGACCTCTGCCCAGCCTCCCAACATCTCTTGAAGCTCCCAAACTCAATCCCACTCCATCCATAGACCCGACTCACTTCCTCACTTATCCAAAGTTAAAGGGAAAACCACAAGGTTTTCAGGTCGGTTTTGAACTGAGTCCGCCCTCTCCGAGAAAAAACCTGTTCTGTGCGGTCTCCGAGTAGCGAAGGCGGGCCCAAAGTCCGCCGCGGCCCGCTCCAAGATGGCACCGTTCCTTGTGAGGCGCCGATTCCGCCCGCGACTGCACAGGTGATACCCGCCCAAACGTAGAACCTGCACAGGTGGAGGACCGTTTTCCTTAAAACGGGATGCAGGTTCTACGCTTGTTTGTGGGAGGGTAGAATGGTTGAGGCCAATGTGCATGAGTTTTTGTTGGATCAAAGCCAAAGGACACTTGGGATCAAGGAAAACGTCGGATTATGTTGTTTAAGAAAGCCTTGATCCAAAGTCTCACTACGCTAGTTGATCCAAATACACAAGGAAGCTGATCCCAAACATGCACCAACTCCTGCTTTCTTGCCTGGATCCAGGTTCCAACCTTGACCAATGCGACTGTGAGACAGAGTGTGCAGCTCTTAGCAAAAGGTAGGCGACCTGAGCCAAGGGCAACTTTCACATGGATCCTGCTAATCTCGGAAAGTATTCCGTCAATGGGTCATCCTTTCGAAGAAAGTTGGCAACAGACCCCTGCTCACCATAGATCTGGAGGCGAATGGTGCTGGTGGAGGCTTGCGTCTGGGGCATTGACACCAAAAACATCGCTGGGAAGGCTTCGGACCCAACTGTCAGCTTCAATATTCCTGCATACAGTGGGCCTGTATGATGTTTGGACATCTGACCAACCCACCTGTGCCCATGTGGTCAAGAATCCTCATGCCGTAATCGCCAGCCCAAACTATTTGTCAAGCCTCGAGTACAATGAGTACAAGGAATGACCATCCCCTTGGCTGCAGAGTAGCACGACCAACAAAAGAAGTCTTAGCTCTGGGCACCCACCTGGTGGGTCCAAAATAGGTGCCCAAAATGGAACACTGACAAATGGAAACAAAGACTAAAACCTGCGGTCCCCTGGTTTTAATTTTGACCACCTCCTGGGTTTACCTTCCTCTGAGTCGAGCTTCGAGGTGTTGAGCGCCGCCAACGTGAGGCTTTGCAGCCGCCGGAAGGTGCTCCTGCCCAGGAGGTCCTGGCGGCCCGAAAAAGGCACAGGAGGGTCTTGGGGATGAGGCGACTAGCCCCAAAAAACAAGCGTACGGGTGGGGTCTACGAGTTCTGAAGTGCCCTTCAAAAGATTAAAAAAGTCCAAGAAAAAAAGAAAAGGAAGGGCAGTCTGGCACACCTGAGCCATTTGGGTGTGGATGTTCATTGGAACCCTTTGAGGCGGACAGCATTTACAGGGGTGACTTGCGTCCGTCAACCCTTCTTATGGGTGTTCAACCGTGAACAGCCATAGCCAAATCAAATCCAGTCGTCAGCAGCTTTCCCATCGATCGTGTCCGCCGTTGCAACATGATATCTGGCCAGAGTTGGACCCTTGGTGGGCATCCGTCGATACCGGTTCAAATGGCAGATATCTCCCGCTCTCCTCATCTGTGTATTGACTCTTGGGCGCATAGAGGTAGATGGCTGTGGTCCACGTTGCCCCGCTGACCGCCACGATCTGGTCCACCTCCAAGATGACTCTGACAATGCCAGGTAGGGAGATCCCTAGTCACCCTCACGGGTTTCCTCTTGGTTCCCCTTGAGAACTGCCAAAAACAAGACATCAATCACGAATTTCAGTCAGAACCCATGGGTCAACAATCTTGGGGGATAGTTGCACGCTCTCGACACCGAGCTTGGCTATGAGAAGCGCGCCAAAGCGGTCTCAGCGTCCCAGCTGTTGAGTTGCACGGGTTTTCAGGCACCCCCGGTTCCCCATTTGAAACTCAGGAAACTTTTTCAGGCACCCCAAAATGGCTAAATTCCCACCCCCCGCCGGGTTCCAAACAGAACCCACCTGCGGCAGCAAGCGCATGGCACGCAAGGCCCTCAGCTGCCTCGGAAAACCAGTTGGCTAAAATAGACTAAAATGGGTGGTGCACCTACCCCAAAATGGGATCCCATTGGTTTTGACCCACCTGCAGCCGGGTGCGAAAAATTCCGAAGGGACAGTTGGCTGAGCTTCCGGCCCCGCAGTGCCGGCCATGGCGCGGGTGCCGCCCCCGCGGGCGGCCAGGCTGGTGTGGAGCCAGGAGTTGTCCAGGCTCCCCCTGGCCGAAGCGCCGTTGTTGATACCCGCTTTTGGGGGGTGGTTTGTAAAAAACGGAAACCACCTTGACCTTCGCGTATTTGGAAACCCATATGCCTCGTGCACGGGATGTCTCCGAGTGTGTTTGTGCGGCGCCAAAGCCACGGTGAAAAGGGCATCTCAACACCCAAATGAATTTTGCCAGACGAGTCCACATCCGGCCCAAACCCCAAATCAAAGCCCCCTGAGCAAACGTTGGTGAGTTTCTAGGATTTGTTTCCTTTTTACTGCTTGGGTGACTTCGAGCATGATAAATCTGATCATATGGGCCCTTTGGCAGAGATCTGTGTATGTGGGACCACACACTTCACTCACGGCGAAGCGGGGAAGTGCCATGTCGCGCGGCCCAAATCCATGCTCCAGCTGCCTCCAGCTGCCAGGGAGGAGCCCGCACACTTAGCCCTTCCCAACCCCAAGCCGCAGAATTGTTGCTGATGCCCTCTGCCCACACGTTGGACATGGCAAACCTTTGCCATTCCAAGCCATTCATGGCCCAATTTGTTCCACAGCATCAACGCCTGCTCTGCTGTAAGGCGCTACTGCTCGAGTTCGCTCGTCAATCCGCTGTGGTGCTTGCACGACACGCCCATATGTCCTCAGCAGCAGTTCCTGCTTGAAAACCTCAACACCAAGGCCAGATAAGCTGCCGCACCTGCTTCCAAATGCCCGCGCTTGCAAAGTACGCACGGCATCAGCTTCTGCGCTCTTTCAGTTCTGGCGCACAACCTTGGCGTCAGCATCAACACTGCACCGCGAAAATGCCCGGGCCTCAGTTTTGAGTTTTGGGGGCTGTTTGCTCAACACTGCCACGGTGGCAGCGCCCCCCGACAGCGCACCCTCTGGCAACGCGGGGGCACCTGCCCGGTCCAAATAATGCGGGGAACCAACATCCTGCGTTTTTGTATCCACGGGCCAGTCTTACAGCATGTGCCGCAATTTGACGTCAACTCCGCACTGCGGGCACGTCTTGTGGCCAGAGTTGCCACAACAGGCTTCTGCAGCTCCCCAACCAGCGCGTCCTTGTAGTCAAGCCTCCAAACTCCTCCACTTGCGCTTGTCCATTCGTCCACAACTTCTGGTTGCATACCTGCTGCCACTGAGCTCACGTTCACAAACATCCTTTGGGTAGGTCCTGAATCCTTTGCATCCTCCGCCTTGCTTCTTGCACTCGGCAGCTTTGTGTTCCAACCCGCCTGCATGTTCCAATGGCGTTGTCACCACCAAGATCTCTGATGCCATCCTGCCCTTTTGGGCAGCCTACCTGCAGCTTCAAAGGCACGCCTGCGCTCCCCTTTCTGCAGCGACCCTGGGCGTGAATGCTTGCACGTCACGCTCATCTGCCCCAACACTATCGATCCAAGCGATTGGCCTCCGCAACCGGCATGCACCATCAACACAAGAGTCCACAAGACCAGCTTGGCCATAACCACGCCAAAGGAGCATCCGGCCACAACTGGATGTCTCCTCTGCCTGCAAACTCTGTGGGCCTCTGCACACCATCAAACACATGTGCATGGCCTCCCTGGCTAGCACATCGTGGCTCAAGAGCATGCTGACCTGATGCGCTGCGCTGCAGCTTTTTAGCCACTTCGCTTTTTACCATCCTCAGGGCCACCTACTTCAAGGCAAACAAAAACACGGTACTTCAAAGCCAACCAAGAGAATCCGGCTGATACTTGCCGAGGCGGGCAACGCGAAGCGTTTAAAATTAACTGGAGACATCGCGAGCTAAACTCACAACTTTCAGCTTTTCACATGTAAAACAATTTAAACCAGGTCACGCGCCCGCACCGTGCTGCCCCGCCCTTCCGGCACGCACGAATGCGCAATGGATGTTGCCTCAGTGACATTGGGCCTGAACGAAGTGCAACTCTAAATCTAATCAACTACTGGGAGCTTGAGTGCAGGTGATGCTGTATGTTTCAGAGAGGATGGCCTCCTTCTTTTATTGAAGCCGAAGTGCGACAGCACAGGTGAGCCAAAAAGAGATGACACAAGCGAACCTCTTCTCCGAAGACACGAGCGAGAACTACCCCCTTCAATTCCCCTGCTTTGGCACTTGGGCATTTAACGCCGCTCAACCCATCCGTCCTGCCATTCTTATTGTTGATGGCCAGCACTTGAAACCTGGCACGTGAAGGCGTTCATGCGCTGCAAGACGAACCTCTTACCAAGCAAGAAAGGTGGGCCGTGCCGGCCATGCCCAAAAGCTGCCTCAAGTCATCCTCGGAACTCCGGAACTCGACTTGAGGCCACTGACTCGCGCCTCACCCGAGAGCCAAGGTCTCCGGACTTGATCTGAAGAAGCTCCGCGCTTTCGCACTCGCCTGGATTGATTTGGCCATGTCAAAAGCCAATCCGTACCCCCAGTGAACATCCTAACCCCGACTAAATTCACTAAAATGGGTGGTGACATCCACAAGGCTCAGGGGCGCAAAGCCAAGTGAATTCGCTGAACTCCATCCCTGCCTGTGCAAGCCAAGCCAGGCACAGCTAGGCATAGAACCTGAGTCTCAAAAGCGAGGAGCTCACAAAAACGGGGATGTCTTCCTTAAAATCAGCCCAAAAAGTACTCCCAAAAAGACACCAAGCAAACGGCTACGAGTCTTTATGAAACCCCATTGTCAAGAAAGTCCCCCAGGCCGTGAAATTCGAAACAAAACATCTTGCCATTCACGCACCCAACACGTGGCCTTCAAGTCGTTCCGGCTCTGGGGCAGAACTCTTTATGCTCGACGCCACAGGAGCAATGCCTTGCTTGCAATGCTCAAGATCCGCCGAGTTTCGCTGCCTCCAAAGCCAACACAGCCGCCGCCCGTGACGGAGCAAAGCACGCAAACTGGGTCTTGGAAGCCTTTGATTGTTCGTTTTGCTGTAAATCAGGTCCCATTCAAGTCCTTCAAGTCCTGCTCATTTGCTCACACAGCCCATGCAGCCAAGTGGCCCACCAAGCCAAGGTCCACTTTTTCATGGCATCGCACCGTTTGAAAAACCTATGGGGTCCTTGCGGCCTTCCGAGCTTCCTCGTTTTTGTCCCGTCCCTTCTGGAGCATTGGCACATCTTTGAACACGGGACCATCAGAGCAGCTCTGGCCGCGCACATAGGCCTCGATGTGCAGAAACCGCAGCCGTGACTCGAGGTCTCACCCTGCAAAAGTCAACAAACTGAACACCTGCGGATCGAAACGCCAAAACGCCGTGGTTGCCCGTCGACATGTAGCGTATGGACTTTCGCGTCTTTTTCTTAAGTCGGATGCTTCCCCTCTCTGGCAAGCTCCAGCTTCTTCGCTGGACGTCGGAACTTGTACAACCGCTCCAGCCGATGCCGGCTGAGAGGGGCTTCAAGGCATAGGGAATTGCTTCTCCACTTCCGTCACACCAGCATAAGGCCCTGGTATCACAGTGGAAAACGCCACATCCCCATAAGAATGGGATCGCTGGCATAGTGGGCTCCAAACACTACACGATCCGCTCCATATACTTGCATCACAACCGCCAAACCAAGGCTGCACTAGCAACAGAGCATCCTTTTGTCGAACCTGACGCATTGATAGCAGATCATTCCAAGAACGGGTCTCTCATTGAGCCCAGTGGCAAAACACAGGCTGCACACCTGGTGGGGTTCATAGGCCCACGAGAGGGACATATGTCCGAAACTCTATTGATTCGCGTGCACTAGGATCGTATGTAACCAGGCCAGCAAGAAAATGCAACACTCGCGGCCGTTCTTCAACTGGTTTGCTTTGTTTGGATTTGTTTTCCGCCGAATGCTTGCATGCTTGCACAGCGTTGCTGTATGTGCGTGTGGCTGTATTTGTATGTGCCACACACGAAACTTGAACCACTCTTCGGATCCTGGATAGAATGACTGTTAACAATGAATTGGGCACCTGGTGCATGTTGTCTGCGACAGGTGCGACTACGCATGCAAAGGGCGCATAAGCCCAAGTACACACAAGATCTCTTACTTGTTCACGGATTTCCCATGTGCGGCAAGTATTTGGCTGAATTCAACGGAAGCACATGGCACCTCTAAACTGAAATCCCAGCATCCACTTTGCTGATGTCGATAGGGATCCCACTTGCGGGAATCTGCTTCAATCCGACATAAGCTCGAGAGATCTCTGCCAGAGGTAATCTGCGCGGCTGTGCCACTCTATGCCTTCTCGCGCAACTGCACCCATTGCAACTAAGAAATCCCATTGCGTGCGTGTGTGTGTGTGTGTGTGTTGGTAAGGGAAACCCCCTTTGGAATCGACGGTCTCGTTTCACCCGGTGCAGGACTCTGGACAGCAACCGGAGTTCCGGACCTAGGCGTCCGCTTTCCAGGTCGCGTGTGCCACTTATTCGCGCCGCATAGCAGCATGTCATGGGATGCGAGCGCTATGAGACAATCGAGAACCGTGCAGAGAGGCGATCGGATCAACACTTGCAACATTCCTCTAATTACCATTCCTGCATTCCGGCTGCGGACTGAACTCACCTGAACTGCAAATTGATCATCTGTTTCACCGGATGCTTGGAGGAAAGTCGTTGAGTATCGGCCACAGTGCCAAAGTGGCTCTCAGCATCCAAGACTTGTGCCAAGTTGAGGTCGTTTCAAACCATCAAAATGGAGAATCCCAAAAAATGGCAGGGGATGGTGCGGGCCGCATGCAAGCAAGCGCGGGTTGCAACCATCCCCTGGCACCCGGGGGCGAGAGGTTCTAATCAGAGCTCAGACTCCGCTTGCCACTTCAGTCTTCAGATCTGGCCACTGGGCTCCTGGCTGGCCTTGCGAAAGGACCTCTCAGCCTCAAATGAATTGACAACCCGGATTCACAACCCGGATACGTAGAGGGTGCGACTCCTCCAAATGTGAAGAAGCACCCCAGTATCAATCAACCAGGGTAATCCAGAATGGAAACCAGTGCAGTGCACTGTCGAAAATCTGTGGTTGTCTGCAAACCAACAACACAAGTGACCGCGCACTGTCGGCCAACCCTCTAACTGTGGAGTTGGCCACCCACAGGACTGGCGCGCAGCCTCATAGAATAGAAGTACAACTGAAGCTGCCAAGATCTGAGCCCTCTGTGGCCCGTCGGGCAGCCCAGGATCCTTCCCATCTATGAACTATATACATCCGCCCTGTGAAATAATTACGTAAATCGCCCTAGCTGGGCTTCAAATTACAAGTGGCCCGAATGAAACACAAAACCTCGGGCTGCGCCGCGTTGCACTCCAGCAATGAAAGGAGGCGCGATGGCAAGCGCAAAGGCCTTGCGAAGAATTGTCTGGCAAATTACTCCTATGAGTGGCTTTACATGGGCGTCCTGTTATACACAACTGTCCTTCAAAGTGCCAAGTCTGACTTGCCACATCTCAATCTTCAATGATCTTGGACTCCAGGCATCGACGTGGCCTGGTGTACGTACCCTTGTCCAAGCTCCTATTACACACGTTCGAACATGCCCTCAACGAGTTTGTGGCCGTTCCCAGCCATGGTGTCATCAACCCAGTCAAGCAAAGATCAGGCTTGAATGATGATATCTGTACAGGTCTAAATTTGGATTGCCACTCTGACTGAAACCGGATTTTACTGGTGCATGAAGACTCTGAAGACCTCCCGGCTCATGCCTCTCTGCGGGACAAAGGGGAAAAAAGTGGTGACGCCTTTCGAGAATGATAGCCCTTTTTGTTTCTGTCAATTGAAGGCTCACCGCCCGTTGGTTCATCTCAAGGCAGTTGATCTTGCTTTCTAAATGGAGAAGAGTCAAGGAGAGGCTGCACATAGAGCAATCAGCGCGTGGGCGGAGGTGCTGAAAGGGATCTTCGGGCTGTCCACATCACCGAGGCTGTGGTGGAAAAGGTTGGTCAAGAAGATCCGGAACGTGTGGATCCAGATCCAGGGTCGGAACACGAGGCTACACCAGCACCATTTGGATAGCTGTTGTTTCATTTTTTGCTTCGGCATGAAGAAACGACTGGCTTGACATGTTTGCTGTCCGCCCCGCAGGAGATGCAGGAACAAAAAGAAGAACCTCTCTGTGATCTTCCCGATTCCGGAGTGGGAGAAGGGCAACTTCGAGTACATTGGTTCGAGCATCAAGCAGAGGACGTGGACACCAACGACCTCGCAGACGACATCATGCACATGGACAATCAGTCTGTGGTGGGAGGCTTGTCGTGGAGGGCATCCCAATCGAGACCTGACCTGCAGACCGGGAGTATCAACGGAGCGTATCTACACGAGGTGAGGGACGCCAACCGGTGAAGATGGCCCAGAAATACAAAGACGAGGAGCGCTTCCAGAAGAACTCTGGAACGACCTGGTCCTGATTGCCTTCCAGAGTTGATGCAGTGATGCCCTTGCTGGGGCCAACGAACCGGAGGCGTTCGACACGAGCGATGCGAAGACACCTGCTTTTGAAGCACCGGACATCCTGAAGGGCAAGCCTTGCAAAGATATGGATGAAAATGCATGGCCTCGGCTATGAAGCGCCTTCGCAACGGGAACTTTCCGCGGCGCTGAAGGGGTCGAGGACACAATGGCCTTCAGCGCGGGACGAGCTTGGCAGACGTGCTCTCCCCATGAGCCTCTGAATGTTGGAAGACCTGGCCATGAGACATGATCCAGGCTGAGTTGACCTATGAGATATTTGTTTATGGACAGATGGCGGATGTGCTCACGAAGGTGAAGTCCGGTGAATGGTGGAACTCGATACGGGCACTCGCCTTGCCATTTGGCCAACGAGCATACGAATTTTCGGGAGTGTCAGTTGTGGTGGCAAAAGCCGTGTGCAGCTGTCAGTTGTCTCTTTTACAAGTTTCATAAACGCCGCTGAAAGCCCGTGATGTGCAGGGTCATACTGTACTAATCAGAGGAGTCCCCCGAAAAATGAACTCATCAAAAACAATCCAGAGAACCACCCTCCAAGTCCTTTGGAATCCGAAGTTGACATTCAAAACTCGATTCACGAGGCCGCTAGGGCCCTAAGAAAGGAGAAGCCTCAAATCCTGTGTTGCGGGTTCCATCAAAAAAAAAGAAGCCCAAAACAAGGGTGTTCCTTTTAGTGTCCCTTTAAAGCCACCAAGAAGGGCCACCAACTCAAGAAAAGGAACGTGTCCTTTTCCATTTTCTGTATGCCAGGCCTGTGCCTGCTTTTTCCGGCTCCGCGCCTATAGGACGGCTGTTCCCGTTGCCAGGATCCGTTCATGAAGGCGGCTGAACCTCCCGATCGATCGATCGATCCGGACAGGCTCGACCCAAGAATCAAATCAGACCAGTGCTATAACTCAACCGCAAGACATCACGCCAAAAGGAACTCACTGAACATTGTCTTCCAACATGGAATGTCTTGCGCACCCTGTGAGGTGCCATAATATGGGTCTGTCTACAAGAAGGCCAACCCCAGAATTGGATTCGGCTTCTCTTTGGTTTTTCAAACCGCAAAAAGTAGATGCCCTGAGTAAAAGTACCACTCGATTGACAAGGAACCGAGAACGGACCCCATTAAGGCATGAACATGCAAATGTGAACCTTCCTAAGAGGCCCAACACAATGGTCGGCTTTCGTTTGGCTTCCCTGTCAGCATCAAGAATTCTCCGGGTGTGTTGCTTTTCAGGGCACCGCCTTTGGCTTCAAAGCTAAATCAAACCAAAGCCATTTTTGAAGGACAAACCCATAGCCACGGACAAAATGACTTGCCGGTTTTTGGAGGGACCTCAGCTTGTCCCCCTCTCGTCCTCCCCAGACAGTACCAATATTGTCAATGCCCCGTACGGTTCCCTTGAAGACGCCCTCATCTTCCCGCTCGATCAGCCCAGAGATTTCCGGTGTGGGGGCTATGAATCCTTTTGCCCGCGAACTGGTGAGCTCGACGTTCGTTTGAGGACGGCAGGAAATCTCAGGCATAGTGGGCAAGGGATTTCCATGGTGGATTCCCAGCTTCCGGAAGCTTCAACCCCCCACCGCCCACGACCCGCACGACCGCGGGTTGGCGGCCTGTCCCTGATCTGGCACGGCATCATGTCAAAGGCGCTGCGCCCGAAGGAGTCTTTCAGCTTCGGCTCCGCGCCGAAGCGGAGCAGCAATTGCACCGCGTCCCACCTCGCTTTCACTGCGACCAAAGGGAGACCCCAGGAAAGGGACGCACCTCGACTCGGAACACAAGGCAACCCAAAAGGATGGTTCTTGTCCCAACAGGCAAGAATGAAATTAAGTTTTTGTTAGGCTCCATGTGAACCTGCTGGAGAGCAACACCAAGATGAATGCGACGATCGACTGGCAATCCTTATGGGAACAACCCTGCAAAAACAAAAAATGGTTCCCCCCCCCTTTCAAGACAAACCACGTGGGTAGGCAACGGGCAGGGCAAAAAACATGCCGGTCCTATGGCGGAAGCTGGTTGTCACGGTTGTCAGTTCCAGGCTTGAAGGTGCTTTTCCCGAAAGCATTGCGAAGGGTTCTTCCGGAGGAAACGCTGCCAACTCGCACGAGCAAACTCGCACGAGCGCATTTGCAAACTCGCACGGGCGCGCTTAGGTCAGCACACTTGCACGAGCACGCTTGCTCAAGCAAACTCGCACTAGCACGCTCACACACACACATGTGCACCAGCAAACGCACGCGAGCAAACTTGCATGAACACACTTACACGAGCAAACTCGCACGACTACACTTGCACGAGCGCACACTTGCACGAGCAACTTGTAGGAAGAATTGCATTATTCCTTGCAGGAGGGGCGGTGGGACCCAATCCACCCTGCGAAGATGACACCCTCTGCGGGCGTTCTACTTTCCGCGGTTCCCACGTGAACCTTCTGCAGAAATCATCATGGTCGACGTGCAAGAACTGCGGACTTTTTCTAGTCTTTGACTTGTTCTGCTGAGCTTGGCTTGGACGATGCGCAAATACTACGGAAGTATTGTAGTTTTGTGAGGTTCTCGCGCGACCCTCTGTGTGGATCGGCATGGTCGATGTGTAAAAACTGGAGTTCTTTGCAACTCTTGGCGGCCCTTGCGTGGAAAACAACCCTTGAACAACTTTCAGAGAGATGTTGCTCAGGGAGTTTTTTCAGAGAGCTTGTTCAGAGAAACTTGCAGAGACCACTTGCACAGAGATCATGCACTGAGAGAGCCCAGAAAGCTTGCATAGATAATTTGCCAGAGAAACTTGCATCAAGAACTTGGGTAGAGAAACTTGAGCAGAGAAAATTGAGCCGAGAACTTGCGCAGACCAACTCGCACAGAGAAACTCGCACAGAGAAACTTGCACAGAGAACTTGCACAGAGCGCTTGGAGCAGAGAAACTTGAGCCGAGAACTTGCGCGAGAAATGTGCAAAGAGAGCTTGCTCACGAAAATTGCTCGGAGAACTTGAGAGAAACTTGCTCAGACAGTAATTGCTCAGAAAACCTGCGCAAAGAACTGACGGAACGAACTTGCGCAGAGACCACTAGCGCCGAGAACATGCTTTGCTCACTCTCTGCGTCCACCCGATCTTTTAGTCTTGTGTGCATGTGCTTGGCACAAGCCATGGTGGGACATAACCCCCATCTATGACAAGGTGGGCTTCCCATCCCAACTTTGTCACTTTTCACAGGACTCCCGCAACCATGTCCCACGATCCCATCGGCTCACCTCCTCTCCAGCACCGCCTGCTGCAGAGGGTAGGACCGCAGCAACCCGAAGCAGCGAAGCTTCGGGGCGTTCACCCGCGGCTGGAAGTCGCGCTGCTTCAAAAACTCCAGGAGCAGTTCCTGGAAGAAATCAGAAAATGGGCGGGAAGGGGGGGGGGGCAAACAAATGATCATTCCTCTTGGTTTCCCTTTCAATCAAGGTGACGGGGGAACTTGTTTCTTTTGTGCTTCAAACTACTGCACATTCCTGCCGAAACAAGTAAAACTATCAGTAGCTCAATTCGCTGCTCCCATCCCCTACCAGGCTGGCCCGCAGACTGGCCCGCGTGGCGACGAATCCTATGCTTGGCGGACATGAATCTCCATGAGTTTCTGTCCACATTCATACCCATGTGCGCCGCCTGCCGGAGAAGGAACCCGTGTCTCCCCGCCTTCTGTCTCTCCACCTTCGCATGCACTCGGGAGAGCCTGCGCTGCTCCTCCTTCTGCTCTCTGCGCTGCTTCATCTTCCGCTGCACCTGAGCCGTTCGCGACAGCCGACCAGTACCCGGGCCTCCGGAGGCTTCAACGGGAAGGCAAAAAAGATTGATGTGTCTGATGGATTTTAGGGATGGAGCCCCATTTCCTTTGAAACCGAACGGGAAAGCACCTTGCACTCTCTAAGCACGAAAGGAATTACCCTCAAAGTTGTGGCTTCGGTCGGTTTGGAGATCGAAGTGTTCGCGCCTCCAGTACGATGATGTCACCTGTGAGCAAGCTGACAGCATCTTCCTCGGAGACCATCTTGCAGCGGCCGCCCATCTGCTGAAAGTTGAAGCCAGCCATGGCTGAATTGCAAATCTGCCCAGCTACTGTTGAGCCGGAGCAACTGCGGTCGCAAAATTCTTCGCTGGTTTCATGCCCAAAAGATCGCCCTGCCACCCCTGGCCCCATGCAACCTGCACCTTGCGCACGAACATGTTGAAGGCCAAAGCCATGTTTTCAACCCTTGCCCCCTTTGTGAGTCAAGCTCTCAGCTCAGATGTCGGTGAAAGGGTAGCCAAAGGCAATGTAGTCTTCAGAGTAGAAGTCCTGAAGCATCTGTCATGCATGATTCGTGGCTTGGCTTCTCAAGGGATTTTCAGTATTCATTGCCCCAAATAGGTACGAGTACCCTCCCCCGCCCCTGCGGTGGTCTGTGGCTCTGGGAACCCTGGTAGAAGCTTGCAAAAAGGACCTGGAAATTTGTCATTTGACAGCCAGCGACCTTTGCGAGGGTTGCCGAATCATGAGTATGCAACAGCCAACTGCAACAAAGATCACGCAGCAGGTGTCCCAGCAAAAGGCCTAACACGGCGAAGAAATGCGATGTGCAAATGAAAAGCTCCATCTGCCAAATCACAAAAAGGCAATCGACTCAAAGCACCCACATCTGAAGTCCGAGAACAGGACATGTGGGTATGAATCTTGGTTACAACCCTTTGGTGGATATCATTTAAGTGCATTCGTAGCCATTTCGACAAAGAACCTTACACGATGTGAACACCTCTAGATGTTGATCGTCGCTTCCAATTACTGGCAGTCTATCGTTAGCACCCTGGTCAAAAATCTTCCAGCCGTAGTGCGGTGTCGACTGATTTGAGCGCCATATCTGTTGATGAACACACAGGAAATAGCTCTATCGGCGCCCACATCTTGCAGGGAACTTTCTCATCTTGGCGGCTTGCCTCATGGGCTTAACTGTGGAAATGCCCCGGGCTGGCTGCAACATGGTAGTGTTGGTCACGCAAAGTGATGTTTCCGTCAGCGCTTTCTCAGTGGCGCCTTCATTCAAGTTTGTGGGTGTGGTCTTCTGGATTGATACACAGGTTTCAAGTGCTGGTCGCTTTCTGCAAGGAACTGTGCGGCCGTTTGCATGCCAGTACCAGGTAGGGACCCAGTGTTTGATGCTCAGTGCACAGTGTAGTCTGCTCGCAGATGGTGGCAAACTTTAGGTCGGCTTCCGCAAGCACTGTCAGCTGCAATGGGACCGTCAGCTTTCTGGTTTGCAATGCATCATGGTGCGCGCAGCAGGATCTTGCTGGTTGTCACGCAAGTGGCATGGGAATTACTACGCTTTCATTGGTGCCCGCAAGGGTGATATGTGACTGTCTGCACTCAAATGATGGTGGAATTCAGTGTACTGCCCGCAGGGGTGATTGATTTCAGTTAGTGCAAGGGTACGAGCAGCACCGTCTGCGGCAGTGCCATGGTGGTTGTCTGCAAGAGATATTGGTGTCCCGACTTTCCGGCCAAAAGCAGGAGATCACCCAGTTGAACCGCTGAAAGGTTGCTCACATAGGTTATTCCCTCCCATTGAGATCGCGACAAAGGCCAGGGGAGCGCCGTTTGCTGAAATCAGGCTCACAATCAGTACGACACTGGGTAACGGTGCTGGGGGGTCAATCAATTTGCCTCTTGACCCTGTTGGCCACGTCACCCTGCCCTTTTCGTGGCTTCGGCTTGCCCTGGCCCCGTTCCTGCACGAGCTGCCGCATCTTCTTGGAAGGCTCGGCAGAGCAGTTCCGCCCATCTCGCCGGGTCTCGCCCAAGCGCAAGCTGAGGCCGTAGCCCTGCGTTTAGCAATGCAACGGAGAAACGGTCCAAACAAAGCACAAACGCCACCAGATCTTTGGTCCTTTGAAGCGACTCCTTTGAAAAGCAGCGCTCGGATTGGCGTCCCATGGCTGACAGGTTCCTATTCGAACTCGTACCACAGGTCGCAAACCCTGCAGAAAGCAAGGTGCCAAGACAACGGAAAATGTGGGCCTTTTTCTCAATTGGGAAGTACTTTCTGGATGGATTTCAACAGAAACGTCAATGGAAACCAATCAGTTAGAGGGATCGCTGATGTGAAGAAAGACCCGACCCTTACAACATTGCCTGAAAGAAGCATTGGCCCAAAACATTATCCGAGCCGCGAATGGAACCCATTGACTTTTGTTTCTACCTAAACCATACAGCCCTGAACCAGAGAATAGACCCTCGTTGGTCTTGCAGGGTTTTCGTTTCACTCATAATGCGGCAGAGCACTTGAACTTGCGCTTGAAGCCCTGGCCTGAAAAGTACACAAAATCACCGGATTTACAACGGGTGCGACAAGAAGTGTATTTTGTCTGGACACTCCTAGTTTACGTGGGATTCGAAGTCCCCTCGTCTTCGAGGTCCAAAGTCTCCTTGTTGCAATGTTCAATCAAATGCTCGGACTTTTACCAGCTCCAAAGAACCAACCACTTCTCTCACAATCTTGACCAAAAAGTGCTTCCAAAAAGAGTGATACATCTCCCCCTTGATATGGGAGAAGCAGGGATTCATTGAACAACCGCATATATCTTCCCGACTTCGGCCCATGCGATGCTTCCCCCGACTCCACCCCCCACCCCCCCCGCCTGCATCAACCCATCAAAGTCCTCCTCGAGGGTCTCGAGCTTCAGCACGTGCTCGCAGATCCTCTCCCGGCGCCGGTCCCCCGCGGCGAAGACGTAGTACACCTCGGGCATTGGAATGTGCGCGTGACCATGTTTTTTTCAGGTTCTTCCGATATTTGGCCACAAAATCCCGTCCCAATCCCCACTAAAATAGACTAAAATAGGTGGTGCACCTACCCCAAAATAATACCATTGGTTTTGATTCCCAGCCATTTGTGTTTCTTGAGGGTTGGGGTGGAGGCGAGTAACAAGTGGAGGACGTGCCTGCGGCATCAGGTGGCAATCCCAGGCCAGCATGTCGCTTCGCGCCTGAACGAAAAGCGGTTAGGGATGCACGCTGGTAGCCTTCCACTCCTTTCTTATTCAACGGTACTTGTGCACATGAATACAAAACCTCAAAGGAAGTCTTGCAAGAACTTCCGTACTGATACTAAGCTCACGCTCTCTCAGGATGCAGGCACCCGTACGTGATCACTGAGAATAGATGCCACGCGCGTGAAAAGGCAAGGAAAAGGCTAGCAGATGCGAGAACTAGAAAATAGAAGCGGGCTGAAAACGTGGCCTCTATCACTTTTGCACGGTCAGGTGCAAATTGTGTGGCAGGCGCAGCACTGTCGCAGGGTGAGGTTCGTGACGCGCTGCACTTTGAGAGATATACAGATCTAGATGGATGGATGGATAGATAGACAGATAGACTAAAAAAGCAGAGAGATGGATAGCAAAAAAGATAGATGGATCGAAGGATGCGCTGGATAGATATATAGATAGAAAGATAGTTGGATACAAGAATATATAAATAGACAGACAGATCGATAGATAAATTTAAAAATAAATAAAAAGATAGATAGATAGATAGATAGATAGATAGATAGATAGATAGATAGATAGATAGATAGATAGATAGGATAGATAGATAGACATGGATAGATAAATAGATAGATGGGGATAGATAGCTATAGATAGATAGATAGATAGATAGATAGATAGATAGATAGATAGATAGATAGATAGATAGATAGATAGACAATAGAGAGAGATAGAAATAGAGAGATAGAGAGATAGAGAGATGGAAAGATAGAGAGATAGAGAGATAGAGAGATAGAGAGATAGAGAGATAGAGAGATAGAGAGATAGAGAGATAGAGAGATAGAGAGATAGAGACATAGCGAGATTCAGAGATAGAGAGATACTGAATAAATATGGGTAGATACAAATATAGATAGATATACATAGATATTGATAGACATGGATAGATATAGATGAATATAGATAGATACAGAAAGATAGATAGATGGATAGATAGAAAAATAGATAGATAGATAGATAGATAGACAGACAGATAGATAGATAGATAGATAGATAGATAGATACAAATAGACACATAAGTAGGTCGACAGATAGATAAATAGATAGATAGATAGATCATGACAGATCGATCGAGCGAAAAAACAAGAAAGGAAAAGAGACTATAGCGCTCTACTGGTGTGTACACATGTATACAACTATATATATATACGTATATGCTTCTCGGTGCATTTTCAGGCACTCTCAAGATTCATGTGTTTGCAAATGTGCGCACTCTCACGGGAAACTTGCTACACGCAACGGGCGTACTCTTCGACTGCGCTCCCAACCAAGTGAACCCACGCAGGCCACATACTAGGCAGACCCGCAACAGGTAGTGTGCTTTACCACAAACGTTTGCATCACCCCCCTGCTGTCGCGCAGCAACTGTTCTGGCCACCCTTGCAAGCTGAGGTACTTGTGTGCTTGGCACATGTCGCCACGCAGGCCAAATGGACACTGCACACCCTCAACAGGCATACCTTGAGACTAGACCCGCAAAAAAGGGAACGCAGGTCAAACAACACGCACATTCGCAAGGCATGCCGCGCTTTGCCAAAAAGCAATGCACAGGCCAGAATCTCAGACTGCCAAATTAGGGCGCTGAAGGTCAAGCAAGTGCCGACCTGCACGCCTCAAGGGCTAAGGGTGCCTGCAAGTGCGCTGTCTTGATGGATACATATATATATATATAATACATATACACATATCTCCGTATAATGATAAACATGTCAGCCTTGTTGAATCCTTGCTCGGGCTTCTCGCCTCGTCTCTTTCCGCCCAAACGAGAATGCTCGTGCCTTGGCAAGAGCCGTCTCAATAAACACGTCCAGCGCTTCGCTGCTGCACGCGTCCGCGAGTTCACCGATGTCCTGATCCCCCCACACCCCCGCAAAGCAGGCAACAAGGGCAGGCTCAGTGATCATGAATCATCATGTCAGCAACACAACGCTGGCGGTGTTACCAGCAAACTCTACAACCTTCTCTCTGATTGATTCTTGCAGCAAACAAGCAACACCAAGCATATCGGACATTCGGCATAGACTCGGCTTCCCCGGACTCACCCTCCTGCCGGTACAACCACTCGCTCTTCAGGCGGCTGAGGGGCTCTCGCACCACGCAGAAGGTGTGGCACGCACCTCTTGCCCGATCGAAGGACTCGTCGCGAAGGCAACGGGGGACGTTTGCTTAGCTTTCCTTCCTGGAACTAAAGTCTCAAGCCGCGAGTTTGTTTGATTCGCAAGCACTACGCCTGTAACCAGCTGCCAAGCAGGAGCAGGTTTATGCTCTTCCTGTCGCTGATCCTGCCAATCTCTCTTTCTGTGCCCATTTCACATGCGGCATGTGAATTTGCACGTGCACTCTTTGCAAATCACACAAGACTCTCTTCTCTCGCCCCTTTTCTTTTGAACCCTCCCTCATCCTTCCGCTGTCGAAATTCCCTCCCAGAAGTTCTTCCCTCAACATGTCTCAGAACCCTTCCCACCCCTTCCCAGGCTGTTGCTGCGTGTCTGTCAAGTTGCAATTCTAGAGAGTCGGCCTGTTGTTGGGCTGGAGGCCGCATCAAAAGGATTCCCACGAACCAAACAAACAACTCTCTCTCTCTCACTCTCTCTCTCTCTCTCTCTCTCTCTCTCTCTCTGTCTCTCTCGCCACCACCCAAAGCAAGCGTCTTGGCTGAAGCACCACCAAAACGACAACCCCTTCAACTTCCAAAGTGTGAGTTTAACTCTACACGCAGGAACCGTCAAAATGGGCGTCCCTTTGCCCTCTTTTCCTGATAATCAGCCCTCCACCCCACCCAACCGCCCCACACACGCTTTTGCTGCCTGCGTGGTAGGAGGCCTTCAGCTGCTCATCAAGGGCAGGCGGCAAGTGCCACCGGCTGCAGGACGTTGAGACCACGCTGCACAGTGGCGACTGCTCCTGCGCTTGTAGATATGCGCACACACACACAAAGACGGCGCACACAGCAACCCGGGGCAACATGTGTGTACATACCCACATGTGTATATATGTATATACATCCCACATATATGTATATACCCCCTTCTCTATACATTTATTTATACATATATGCATATATATATATACTCAGATGTGTGTGCGTGGGTACATGTACAAATATACAAATATGTGACATAATATGTGTGTAGTGCCCCCACCTCCCACCCCCCACCCAAAAGAACAAAAGATCTGCCATTTCTTAAACTTTGAACAATGCCAAACTCCGTATGTATCAATCCATGTCCCAATGTCTAAAATAGATCACACCTGCCAAATCTATGCCTACACGTGGGAACTAATAGGAAGATTGCAGGAAAAGTTTGTTGATCTGTTTCATGCCACATTCCAGCCAGGGGAGGAATGATTGCAATCACCTTAGTGCAGAGATGTGCTTAGTGCAAACATATCCTACTCGCCTGTTACCACATCCTGTTAGCGCATCCTGTTAGCACATCCTGGACTGCAAAGTCCCAGAGAAATGTTCTGCTTGCACGTGCAAGAACATCCTGTTACCACCTTCTGGATTAACATGCCTAGGGAAATGTTTAAGAATCGAAAGTCTTAAATCTGCTAGCAATAGCACATCTTGACAGTAAGGATTGAGGCACAACAAAAAGGCATGTTACCAGCAGCAAGTTGAACAGGGAAAAGTGCACTTTGCCTGCCCTGGCTAGGATGTAGCGTAGAAGAGTTCAAGAAAAGTTTCCCTGGATGTTTTGATACTATTGCTGCCCTCCCTGTGTAGCCATAGAGTTGGCAGATGTGATTTGTGTTAGACTTTGGCAGATGGATTGATACATTGACATACGGATTTTGGCATATGCTCAAAGTCTAAAAGGGTAGATCTCCTTTTTGCATCCAGCTTCTCTCTCAAAGTACATCTTTCATCTGCCGGCTCCAGAAAGTTGAACGGGTAAATCTTCCTGGAAAAGCATATGAATGTGTATACGTGCTTACACATATATGTTGAAAAGTGCAACTGCTGCATGTAAATTTGTCAAGGCTTGGAGCTTGTACATTGCGGAGGCAAGAACAAAAGGATACAGCGTGCAAAACGCTGGCACGTTTTCACGCTGGCACTTACAGGTTGTCACTCTCATTGTTCAGGTTCACTTCAGAGCAGAGTGGTGCTATCTTGACATGGTAGCGGAGCAGTGATGCAACACCCGAAAAAGACTCAGGGCCTTTCCCCACACCACATTGTATGCCGTCGCTACAACCACAGCGACTCGATGGACTTCACAAGTACCGGATCCACCACCACGCTTCAACAATGAAAGTAAAAGAGGTACCTTGGACAACAAGATTCAGCATACAACCAACTACTGAGACCGTCAGACCAAGCACAACTGGGCAGGGACAAGAACAAGCAGAACAAAACCGAGCAACGGCAGATTAATGGATACAAATGAGCCGAAAACTTGCGCTAATCCTGGTCAATGTGACAGACCAGCATCCACAATTTACCGACAAAACATGCAACGGGCGTGAAGCATGGAGACTATACGTCAGATACTCAATACCACTCGGCACAAGAAGCATCGGGTACCTCTCAAGCCACAATCTTGATGAGAGCTGTTTTTGAGAAATAATAAGAGATCCAACTGGCCAAGAACGAACTAGACAGCAACACACTACTGCCAAATGCAGCAATGATCACCGTACGCGAATTGAGAAAATGCGTACTTGATCAGTACAAGTGCAGCATGCGGAGTGTGCTTCGGCAATGAATGGCTCACTTTGCCTTGTTCTGGACTCGCTTCGATTTGTTGCCTTTTTGCGCCCCCCCAAAGCCGGCTGGCGCCCCCCAAAGCCGGCTGCACGCACAGAGGTGACCAAGTCTTGATGTTGTGTATCTCGTTCTGCATGGTTGTCTACAACACATCTAGTCCCGTCAATTTGGGGGGACATTGGGGACCATCTCATTTCACAGCGACATCTCAACTGTTGAGGTATTCTGACCGTATCAATACATATTCAGTTGTCTGAGAATTTGTGCGGTCGAGGGGACGATCAAATCCAGGCAACGGATTTCCCAGAACTGGGCCGCTTCCGTTCACTCGCCGCATCGCCTGGGATGGCTTCAGCCTCACCGGCTCGGTGCTCAAGCTCGAGCACTCCAAGCTCCCCAGGGGATCGCTGCACAGCAGCTGGTCATCGCACATGCCCCAGAGCCGCGTCACCGGATCCTGAACCCGAATCCGACGTTCGAGAAACCCGGGCTAGAAAGAGAAGGCAGCCTGAAAAACGAGCCTTCAACAAACCTTGTTGGGTCAGAGACATCCTGCCGGCCACGGCTCACTCACTACTTTCCCATATACCTGCTTGTCTGCCTGCCTACCAATGATCCCTGATCCCAAGCAATGTCTCTCTCTCTCTCTCCCCTCTCCCTCTCCCTCTCCCTCCCCCTCTCCCTCTCTCTCTCGCTCTCTCTCTCTCTCTTTCTGCCTGTCCCTCTGCTCACTATTCACCAAATGGACACAGCCGACGTTTCGTCTCCGACTGCCGACCGCCGACTGCCCGCTCCTTGCCGCGAAGGCTGGCGCAGGTGTTCCAATCCCCAATCTCCCCGAGCTCCTCCAGGCCGCCCACCGCCTCGCGCTTGCAGTCCTCACAGCCCGGACAGGCGCTTCATGAAAAAACGGCCCTCCTCCACACAGCGTCGAAAGGCAGAGAAGAGGGAGGGGACATAATTTGGACCATCGTCCATGCTTAAATTGCGGAGACACCTGAAGGTGGGTCCTGAGTTGCCCGATGAAGACCTTTCGCATGCTGACCTTGAAAGCCAAAAAGACAAAGGTTTCAGCTTCCAGCTAGCATAGGCTTTTGTGGGATGGTAGCTGGAAAAAACTGTGCCATCTTGTTGAAAGAAAGTTTTCGCAAGCTCGGGGCTCGAATCCTCTACGCAAGAGCCAAGCGCGAGTCTTGCAACGCGAGCGACCTGAAGAAATGTGTTTTTTTGTTTATCCAATTGGATGTCATGGTGCTTCAACAGAAAGTAGACATGGCTTCTCTGAAAGTGACCAGACAGCCATGTTCAAGGCAGTGCAACAACGGGTCTGGACACCTTTCTTAGCGAGCTCCGACCGTCCCCCTTCACTATCCTCCACAGTCGTGCCGCCCGTCTTGGGAATGTGGATGAAAGACAAGCAGGCGTCGCTGGCCTTCAAATCTGCCAGTGAGCGAATCTATCAAATCTAACTGTTCCATCCACGCTGGAGGAAGGCTCAAACTCCATCTGAGACTAGTAATTCAGCCCAAATTTGAAAGTCCCGACCCATAGCATCCAATCAAGGCAGGGTTCAACCAAGTTCGACCCTTAAAAGTGAGTCAAGAGATAGCAAACTCGAAAGCATCCCACGTCCTCTTGCGAAAAGGGGGTTCGACCCATGTTAAGCCCTTCAATCAACTTGTCAACCTAAGTTACCGGATCTCAATGAAGCTCCTGTACCCAAATAATGCCGGCGTACTCTGGAAGCCAGGTGGAAGGGCATCCCAAACAAAAAGTCAGGGCCTCGAACTCTTCGGGTTACTGGCCAAAAGGTCTGGAGGTACAGTTCTTCACTTGGCCACACACAAGTGATGTTCTCACGTTGACTAGCCAGCCAATGAGCTCATGCCGTCCACGGGCGTTGAGAAATGTTCATCTTAAACCTGTGCAAACCATGGAAGGCATCCGGTGCCATTCAATTACCAGCAGAACAGATCGACCGGCTTATTGCATCGCTTGCCAGCGGTCAAAAAGCGCGATATGATATTGGTTTTGGTGCAACATGACAAATGTTCTAAAACGCTTGCATGGCACGTTGCAATGAACTGCACAAACCAACAATGATGAGGTGTCCAACAAGCAATAGCAGGCACAACCTAACAATCAACCGCTCAGCATTTGGACTCCAAAAGAGGACATGCATCTGAATATTGCGAAAACGACAGGTGCTCAAATGCTCAAGTGTGAAGTCTTGAGACTATGTTGAGATGTGATTGAGATATGCCTAACGAACTTCTATGTATGGCTACGGTCGATCCAGCAACCTTCCCTTCAGGACCATACCAAATCAAACCAACACTTCCGAAACTTCCGAACATCGCTGAGGTGCCGCATGGAACTGACTGCACGCCCACACTAGAACTCACCTGCATGGACTTGGTCTGCAGCATGCACTGGCTACCCGCGGGCTGCGGTGTGGCGGAAAAAGAGCGCAGCAGCAATGGCAACGCATGCCATGGCTTCATGTCTGGCACAGACCTGCGCTGGTAGATCTTCAGACAGCTAGACTTGCATGGAGAGTCTATGCTGGGTGGCCGAATGGCTCCCAGTACACGGGACTGGCATCCGACACCATGAATGATGTAAGCCAACCCGCTTGCTGAAACCCGTTTAAACCTCCAAACCATGGTCGCTATCTGGCCAATGGACCTTCAGGTCCTGTAGTATGTGAGACGTAAGGTGGTTGCTGAGCCGGCGGGGCAACAGTCATGGCACAACTCCCGTCATCCCATCTGGAGGATGACCTGGAAACACCATGAAGGCCAACCAACGACGATTCAAGCGGCCACGGGTCAAAATCCCATACCCCCAGTGAACATCCCAATCCCCACTAAAATTGACAAAAATGGATGGTACACCTACCCCAAAATGGTACCATTGGTTTTGACCACAGCCGAGTCCCCTTCTCACCAGGGCTCCGCTGTGTCTGCAGCTGTCCCGTTTGGCAGCTGCGGAAGCGCACCCACTCGCAAGCAGAAGCTGAGAGCATCTCTCAAACAATAGTTTATATGCCCTTTTCGCGTTCATTGAGATTGCTTTACCGAACAGTTTCATCTAAATCATCTTGCAGCCTTGGTTTGCACGCATGTTCTTGCATTAGTCGATTGTCTTTCTATCAAGACTCTTTGGCTGCTCTGCTTCGAACTCCAAGGCGAATCTCATCTAAGCTGAAACTGTGCAAAAAAACATGCCATACCTGGACCCAAAAACACGGCTGGAAATAGGTCAAAGCACTACGTCAAGCACAAAGGGATAGGCAAATCCCCCCGCCGCGCCCGAGTGTGTTTTCTCCTTGCCAGCAGGGCTGCCGCTTTTCGGCAGCCTACGCCCCCTCGCAGCATTCTGGAGGGTTCAACCGGCTGGGTCAATTTCGGAATCTGCCGGGTAAACTTTAAATTAACTTTAAATACATTGGATACTCCAGATCTGCTTGCCGGATATTTCAGGTGTTGAACCAGAGTTCTCCATATTTCGAATCTGAGCATCACCCCCGCTCGTGGTGATGGTTTAACTAATGCCAAAGCCATCCGCGAAAGGAGAAACATTGGAGGGACCCTATGGCTGTTCAGGATCAGCACTGAGGGAACACTGACATTTCGCTTCGCCCTACCCGTGTCGCAACACTTCCTCACCCGGGGAGTCAGACGGTCACGCCTCAGTCGGCTCAAGGAGTCTGTCTCTGCAGCTTGAGTCTCCTTCAAATCCCTCTGCGGCTGCGATGCGAGGATCTTACGGTCCTTTCGCATGCGTTCTATATGTTTGCGCGGTGAGCCGCAGTTGACCATCACCAACGTGCCAATGATGTCAAACAATCACCTCCTCTCCTGAGAGGAGCTGCAGCCAAGGTTTGGACCAGGCATACGCAAAACGCATTTGTTCTGCCATGTGAAGCTCTCGAGGCGGCTCTGGTGGGCCCAGGAATTCAGCCAGGAGGCCAATCAAGACCAAACCAAAGTGAGTGATTCGTGGATCCACGCCGCGAAGTTTCGCAGGGCGATCTGCGAGTTGCTAGAGTCGCGATGACTTGCTCTGCATCCCCCACAAGCTCCTGTAGAAGCCAAACTGAGATCCCCCTAAAAAGAGGACCACCAGTTGTTGGCTTCCCTCTAATCGAGCACTTGGATTGGTTCGGAGGTGTCCCTTGTGGCCAAGACAACAACCATCCAGGTGTTTGCATCCCAATCCAAACCATCGCTCAAAAGCGCTGATACAGAGTATGAGTACTCGCCTCAACATCAACATGAAAGCCCGGGAAACTCAATCAAGATTGTTGACCGCATTGTCTAAACCATCCCCAAAATGGAACCTACGGGGAACCTGAGAGCTATCAAACCAAAAAAGAAAACGCAAAGATACAAAACGAAAATCGAAAACCGCCGCCAAAATCGCAAAAGACTCCGAGGCCTTGGCCTTCCACGGACAAGAGCTCCGCGTTGCTCTCTGAGAGCCGCTCCAAGTCTTGGATGCACTCCTCGGTGAAAAGCATTGGGGGAAAATATGCAAAAGACGCCCCACCGTTGGGTGGAGAGCTGTCTTCTTTCTGGTCGAAACCTCTTGCTTGGTCGCAGAAAAATGGTGGTTGTCCAACAGCTTCAAAGTGAAAGGTGGAGGTACGGAATAGACGGCTAGAAACTTTTGCCTGTCTGAATGGCCCCCTCCAAAGAGCTGATATCTTGGCACCCACCTCAGCCGTGTGGGGACAAATGCAGTGGAAGAGGGTGGTCCTTTCGCCACATGGGCAAAACTCTGGTGCATCTCCAGGAGGAAACCTACACTGGATCGGCCCGCAAGCAGAAACGTGCCCGCTTTGCTGGTCTGTAGACTATCTTGCGGTCAGAGCAACTTTGGAGATCCATATTCCACTCTGTCTAGCCGAAGCCTGACACATCTTTGTGTTGCTTGCCTTGAACATCCTTCGCTCCATCTTTCCCCAAGGCGTTGATGGGAAGTAAAATGTGTTGCATGCCTGATCATTCCGACACACTGAACAGAATGGAGACTGAAGGCCGGAATGATGACGGGGTACCCCAAATGTTCAACCTCGTAAACTGTCGCATACGATGGTAGCCCCCAGCTCAAACCCAATATATTGTTGGGGCACGGCCCCCACGGCACGTCCCCCGGCTTGTCTGCCCTGTTAACTTCTACCAAAGCCACAATCAGCACGCGGTGCACGGCTTGCGCACGCTCTGCATCTGAGCAGCCTGCACATTTTGTGGCTCATGCTCCCTCTGGCAACTCAAGATTCGCTCCAAAAAGGCTTCTTCGCAAGATGTGCTGCATCTGTGCAGGGTGTTGAATTATAGCAATGGCAACTAGCCCTTAATTTTGAGTGGTGCATTGATAATGTATTTCATCCAAGAATGGAAGTGTTGGACTTGGTTGAAACAGACCTTTGGCCTCCTTTCCTGCTCGTCAAGGCGCACCGGCTATGACTCCATTGCTAGCTCCGGAGCGCATCCACACGCGCATTCAGGAACGTTTGTGGGTTGGTTCCCGGTTCCTTGGAATTTGCAAAATCGATCCAGGTCCCTGAATTTTGGGCCTCGCTCGGAAATGGAGAAACTTGCCCAAGACTTGGTCGTCGAAAGTGCCGCGCCTGCGAGAAAGGTTCTCTGGCCCACGTTGATCCTGAGCAAGAGACGAGCCGCCACAAGATTCTAAGTAGCCGGACGTGGGATTGCAGATGGGAACCCCTCTCTGGCTGCCCGCCAAAGTGACATCCTCATGCGCTGGCTACCTTACCTGGGCCTCAAGTGACCCTTTGCATCTCTGAACCTCGTGCCAGATTTGGAAGATAAAGGCCAAATATGCCCCTGAGTCCGAAATCGCGCTGAACAGACCATGCTCAGAGAATAAACGTCGCTGAACATCAAGTACCTAGAATCAGGTCTCCAAACAGGGGAACCGCAAAATGAGTTCAGTTGTCCTTTGGTTTCTTTTTGATTCCAGGGGCTACCAGCCGAGTTATTGGCACTGCACTTCGGGAGTTCCAATTACTTGGGGCATTCCAGCTCCTTTTGAACTCAGGGAGATGACATCAGGAGTTTCAATCAATTCTTTGTTTGGGGCAAGAGGAAACCGGAGGATGGTAAGTGCAATGTGCGGGACGTGCCCGAGCTTGTTCTACCTCATCTCTCCGTGGCCCCCACGTCTCTTCGTCATCCGGTGGGAACTTCCCCTTGCGCCTCACGCCCCGGCCAAAAAAAGTTCACCACGCCAAAAAGGCAGTCTGTAAGTTGAATCGAAAGGTGAGGTGTCAGACCAAAAGAGAAAGAATGGATATATAGGGGCCCCTGCCAAAAGGCACCCAAAAAAGAGCACGCTGCCCCGCAGTTCGTCTTGTCCAAACCTGGAACCTTTCCACAAGGCTGCATATTCCTTTCGGTTTTCGTTTAGCTTCCTTTTGGTGTTGCTTGGGTTCCTTTTGGTTTTTTGTCGGTTTCCAGCTGCTACACTTTGGCTTCCTTTCACCGGCCAGCCTGCGCCGCCCGAGATCCTCGTAGACCTGGCGCTGATGCACCCGATTTTGAGATGGCAAATATTGTCGCTTTTGGTCCATCCAAGATGGAAACCACTACCTACAAGGCGCTGCTGGGGAATGTGTTCTGCAGGCTTCATAAGATCTACGTATATATATATATATATACATACATACAATGTACGTATATTATAGTCATATAATGACTCACTTGCATAAAGGACCTGGAAATGAAAAACCGGGCAAACTAAAAGGTCAAAAGGTCTGCTTTGGGCAAGTGAGCATTTCGTGTACAAACGTACAGGACACGTTCAGGGACCACACCAGGATCATCTAAGCTTTCAGGCCTAGGCGACTCATTCACCGGAGCGATCGGGACACGTGTGAGTCTTTGGGCGGATGTTTGTCCGTGCTTCGATCAAAATCCAAAGCTCACAAGGCTCGACAGCTTCCGGCTGGGCTCCGGGCTCGTCTCCGAAGCATCTCGCTGAGCCTTGCGGAGGAAGGGCCAAGTGGCATGTCTTGGGAAGGATGCTCGGGTTCCTTAGGAGCAAAACGTCCAACGTGAACATGTCACCCCTTTGGTACTAGCTCAGGCGTCACCGAGTGCCACGAATCGCGCAGGAGCAGACTGGCAAAGACAACTATTCACTCGTGTTCGCTCCAATCAGACACGTGTTTCGAGGAAATCCACTGCAAAACACATGTGTGTCTCGAAAAACATGATCCTCTAATGGCTGGTGTCCCTTTCAGTTGCCCAGACTCAAACCAAAAGGGCTGGCTGGCTCCCCAATTCCCCACAGATGTCCCCTCGAACCTTCCAAAAAGATACACCTCTGGGCAACGTTTTGACCCACCGAAGCCTCGCAACCTCCGTGTTGATTTGTTTCATGCCACATTCCAGCCAGGGGAGGAATGATTGCAATCACCTTAGTGCAGAGATGTGCTTAGTGCAAACATATCCTACTCGCCTGTTACCACATCCTGTTAGCGCATCCTGTTAGCACATCCTGGACTGCAAAGTCCCAGAGAAATGTTCTGCTTGCACGTGCAAGAACATCCTGTTACCACATTCTGGATTAACATGCCTAGGGAAATGTTTAAGAATTGAAAGTCTTAAATCTGCTAGCAATAGCACATCTTGGCAGTAAGGATTGAGGCACAACAAAAAGGCATGTTACCAGCAGCAAGTTGAACAGGGAAAAGTGCACTTTGCCTGCCCTGGCTAGGATGTAGCGTAGAAGAGTTCAAGAAAAGTGTCCCTGGATGTTTTGATACTATTGCTGCCCTCCCTGTGTAGCCATAGAGTTGGCAGATGTGACTTGTGTTAGACTTTGGCAGATGGATTGATACATTGACATACGGATTTTGGCATATGCTCAAAGTCTAAACGGGTAGATCTCCTTTTTGCATCCAGCTTCTCTCTCAAAGTACATCTTTCATCTGCCGGCTCCGGAAAGTTGAACGGGTATATCAGGCGCCCCGGCAGCGGAGCAGGCCTGGTCTCTGGGGAGTGGCCCTTCTCCACCTCTGCGGCTGCCGACTTCAGCTTCGCGAGTCATGGCTGTGGGTCAAAACCCAGGAAACCCCTGGTGAACGTCAAAATAGGTGGCAAATGGATGTTCATCCAGCCATAGGTTATGCCCCATGGCCACATGTTGGCCGTGGCTCAAAGGAAAACGAACACGCAAGCCAATCTGACATCCATTTGCTTACCCTGGAAGCCCTCAAACGCCAAACGCCCATATCTGTTTCAGAGGATTCCTGGGTCACTATGGATGCCGAGGGCCCTTACATTCCATTCACAACTCACAGCTTTGACACATGCCCATGGAATCTTGGGCTCACTGAAAAAAATGTTTGCGCCGGCATGCTGACGTCCCAGCCAGTCTTAGTCGGATGCAGCCAGGAGGACTGCAGGTAGCTGGTGTTTTTTTCCAGAACCGTCCAACAAGAGCTTCCAACCGGCCACGCAAAAACACAAAATCAGGCTATCCCGCTGACAAAGGTCAAGGCGAACACCGGCCTCCTAAATCATCGACAAGTATCGCTGAGTGGCCTTTAAAAGACATGCTCCCTCCGCTCCATCGGTTTTCAGCCAAATGGGGCCCACATCTGAGCGACCTCGCTCTCGGAGGCACGGCAATCATGAATGTGGCATCTGCCAGTTTGGGGTTGTCCATCATAAGCATCCGCCGTCCGCAAAACACTTCAGGCGTAAAAAGACTTATGGGGGAGTCTCTCAAAAAGGGTGGACGCTTTGGGTTGGTATCCAATGTGAAACGAAAAGGATACCACCCATTTGGCGAGCCAATGCCTGTTTTGAGAAACACTCATGTGGTTTCCCGGTCGCCATCGCTTGGACTCCCGACCGTACGGTCCAACAGACTCAGCTGCTCCTCCCACACCTCCATGGGTTCCGTGGCTCCCTTGTAGGGCGCCGCATTCCAATTGGTGCCGTCACCTGGCCGTGGCTCAAACTGCCAGCGATCTGAACAGGGACAATTGGCGAATTACCCGGAAAAAGCCAGCACAAGGCGGCACCGGGGTCCAGGAAGGTGCCATCTGTTGGCCACCCGCCATCTGGAAAGGAAACCAATCTGCTTCTGCCTCTTGTGCGGATTGCGTTCAACCGGCTCTCCCGGACTTTCCGACGCCTCGGGCATCCAGGCAGATCCCATCGAAGGCGCCCTCACAGCGGCCCATGAGGCGGCTGAGCCGGTGAGTGGCATTCTGCACCTCGCAGCACGCACGAGATAAAGTCGCCGAAAGCTCCCAGTCAGAGCATACTTCCAATGGTCCCTGAGTCACCAAGTAATCCAAGTAGTCATGAATGGTCACTCAATCACTATATGAATAGTGGCCACATGCCAGTCTCTGAACCCTCACTCATGGGCCTTACATCTGATGTTCAAGCAGCTATATCGCATCTCTTTTTGCTACATCTGTGGTTGGAGATTCTCCCAACATGTCTTGAGTCTTGTTTGAATCACATCGGCAAAGTTGGCCGGGAAAAGCTCATGGCACAAAATTGTGGAACGATACCCACGTCAAGAAAATAAACTCCACAATGACATCCCGAAATGCCCGTCCACCTTGCAACCGTAATCAAACAAGCCCCCATCTACCGGAAACCCACGACGAAACACTGATGTCTCCTCAATCAGAGCAGTTCAATTGGGGTAGCGGATCCGCCGAAAGGCCCAGAGTGCTATCTCAGACTTTCCGAGACAGCACGTCTTCTTGCGGGAAAACTTTAAATTGAGAGCACTTATTGCCCTGTTGAGGAATTCAGCTCCACCAGCCCGAAAAGAAGCACATCAACGATCATCCAGCACTTCAATGTATCCACTACGTGGCGCCCAGTGATGCGGCTGGAGATCAGGGCTCCCTATGTTTCTCCTTTGAGCTTCGCTTTGGTCTGGCCAAAGCGACTTGCCAAGGAGCCCTTGAAGCAGGCCCGCACAAAAAGATATGCTCGGTGTGTGACCGCTCGTGCGGCATGTTTTTCGGAATTTCCCCAGCAACCCACAACAAGGTCCGAAAAAAGGCAGAAGTCTGTCCAGTCAGGCTAACAAACCTGGGCCCCCCCTCCGACTGGAGAAGCTTCTGCAGGTGGTGCAGGATGTTGGAGATTGAGGCATCCTCCAGCTTGTGGAATCCGAAGAGGTATGGAAGTTGGGAAAGCTGCAAACACAGAAGTGCGCAGCCTGGCCACATGACCTCAATGAATGACACCCACACTGCTGAACTTTGTGTTTTGCGGGTTGTACCTCAACTGATTGGTTTCCACTGGGTTCTGCAAAAACAAACGCTCATCTGCCCTTGCCCCCGCATTTCAATGTTGTCAAGGATCGCTCTGACATCTCAAGCTGAGAAACAGGTATTGGTTAGCGCATCCAGTACTGGATGTGGGGCAATGTTGAATCTTGATTGGGGACCTTTGGTGAACATCATTTGCATCAGCATCTATCCACCAAGCATTCGCTTAGGCTTTTACCCCACTTACAACTTCACAGCCATCACAACACCCCCGGCGCGTATCGATACGTCGCCCGCTCCGAGAGCACCGCGCAGGCGGCGGCCACTTCGCGGCACATCTGAGAAGTGAAGTCAAGGACAATGGATGTGTGTTTGGGAAGCTTGAATCAGAACCTTTGGTGTCCCTTTGAGCCCAAAGGGGCACCATGAAAAAGTTACCGAAATCTCTCGAACTTGTCTTGGAATTGCACTCAGGATCACGCATGCGGTTTGCCGATTGCCCAGCGAGTGGATTAAAAGGAGCGTCGATGAACTTGAACGGAAGCGGCACTCTTCGGCTAGAAGTGCAGGTGGGAAACAGCAAGCGGTCAGAGGCACGAGTCTTGCCGTGGCTTTCCGAAGCAGGGGTACAAAGCGACTACAAACAATAAGTGAGTAATACCCAAAACCTGTCCTTGAAGGGATCTACCCAGAACGGTGTCTACAAAGGCAAGCATGGCACCATCGCGCTTGAGCGCCGCCCAGCACCCATTCCCTTTAATTCTACCGAGGTGATTATGGGGGTTGCCATACCATTGAATGAAGAACTAGAACCCGGCGTAAAAATGGCCAACTTGCAGGGCGCTGGGAGGCTCAGGCGTTTAACTGCGCAAGTGCAACCAAAGCCGTCCTTTGCGCTTTTGAGGAAATCAATGTCTTTTCCATAAGGTAGTTTTCAAAGAACAAAACCTTCAAGTCGGCTTCCCGTCAAACCAAAGGTAGGCCTCTGTTTGACTTCCCTTCGAACCTTCCAAAGAGGAACAATAATCCTACACTTTCAAGCAGCAAACCAAACACGCGTGCGAGACAGTCGTCCGCATGCCAACGGGCGGCCTTTGAGCGATGTCAACTCTGAGCATGGCGCATGCGTCTCGTTCTCGTTGAGAAGCACATGTTTGGTGGCGATGGCACGCTCCTCGAGTGCCAAATTGGAAAGGGCCCGTCCTTTTTGGATGGTTCTCAAGTGAGACAAATATAGAATCATCTGTTTTGTTTGCAAACCCCTTTCAGGGAAAAAGGAGGTCGGCAAGTGTGGATGTCGTGTTGGGCAAACCTGCTTTAGCTTGCTTTTGGTTGCTGTGGAAGCAAACATAAAACAAAAACATGTTGGGCGTCCCTACTTGTAAGACCAATCCAGATAGAGAAAGGAGCTCCTCTTTGGATGATCCATATTAATGCAAAACGGCTTTCCCATTTGGCTCGCTCTTCAATTCCTTTGAACCAGACACCCCAGAAGCGAGAAAAATCCTCCCCCCCCCCCACATTGGAAACCCCATTGTCACGCCCCTTTCTTGAAACATCCACAGGCGAGCAACCTTAAAAAAAGCCTTGTGAGACTCCTGGGAATCAATCAGCGCTCACTTTTGGAGCATGTGTTCAACTTGTCTGCTCTGCAAAAGGCATCAAAAGCACCGAAAATGCCGGGTGCCCGGTGCTACATTTCAGCAATTGCTCTTGCAAGACAAATGGATTCAGAGAGAAGCAAACCGGCCCACTCCTGGCCAGCTGGCACGCAGAGGGACCAAAAGGAGCACACCAGCCTGGCAAGCAATTCAAGCGCATCGAAATTGGCTCAAGCAACGACTTGATTTGTGGGCAATGGGATGCCCGGGCAGGGACGATCCGAACCCCAGACAAGGCAGACACAGAAAAACAACAGATCGCTGCTCTCGCACATCTCTGCCAGTTGGCTTGCGAACCTGGTTCGCAAAATGCCGCAAGAAATTGACCCAAGACTCCAGGAGGATCCATGGCTGGGTGCCTTCCGGGGACTTCGTTGTGAGACCCCATGGCCTGTGCCGATCAATTCGGCAGCGGACTGCATCTGGGCCCATGCACATGTAGACTTTGTCCTGCAGGATGGGCCAGCACCAGCCCCAAACCCCCCGCAAGCGCCCGCGCTGATGTTTTTGTGTGTATGCGTGTGCGTCTCGAAGTATGTGTATGCATATACATGTATGTATGTATGTATGTATGTATGTATGTATGTATGTATGTATGTATGTATGTATGTATGTATGTATGTATTTATGTATGTATGTATGTATGTATGTGTGTATGTATGTATGTATGTATGTATGTATGTATGCTTGCATGCATGCATGCATGTAGGTAGGTAGGTAGGTATGTATGTATGTATGTATGCGCGTATGTATGTATGCGCGTATGTATGTATGCGTGTATGTATGTATGTATGTATGTATGTATGTATGTATGTATGCATGTATGTATGCATGCATGCATGCATGCTAGGTAGGTAGGTAGGTATGTAGGAAGGTTATTGCGTATGTATGCATGCATGCAAGTACATATCTATGCATCTATGCATCTATGTATCTATGCATCTACGCATCTATGCACCTGTGCATCGGTGTATCGATGTATCTATGTATGTATGTGTCTGTGAAGCTATGTAACTGTGTACCTATATCCGCCGACAACAGACGGCGTGTTGGACACAAAAAATGCTCCTTACCTCTTTACCTGTTACCCCTCCCCTAACCCCTCCCCAGGGGCACCATTTCAGACTATTGCGGGGGGGGGGGGGTCCACGTACCACGCGGTGATTCGAAGACGCTTCACTAAATCTGTTCATTGTGCGGGCTTGCGCAACTCAGTTTGTCAAAAACATTGGGGTGTTCGATTCCCCCCGGGTGCGCTTTCGCATCCTTAGCAGCTCCAGCGGCACATCGCCAGCATCACCTGCATCATCCGCATCAGCGCCTGCCAAGGATGCGGATGATGCAAGTGATGCTGGGGATGTTGCCCATGCTGGTGAAGGAAATGAAGGGGGGAAAGGGGGAAAGGATCTCAACAGCGAAAGGGGGGGAAAGATCTCAGGGAGGAAAGGGAGAAGATCTGGGGAACAAATGCCTTAAGGGGGAAAGGGGGGAAAAGATCTTTGGGAGGAAAAGAGAAATCTTTCTCGGGGGGAACAGGCCCTAAGGGGCAATCGGGGGACAGGATCTCAATCGGGAAAGGGGGAAAAAGACTTTGGGAAGAGAACGGTGGAGATCTTGGGGGGAAAAGGCCTTAGGGGGGAAACGGGGGAAAGGATCTTAAGCGGGAAAGGGGGGAAAAGATCTTAGGGAGGCAAAGGGAGACGAACTCAGGGAAAAGGACTTAGGGAGGAAAGGGGGGGAAAGATCTTTGGGAGGAAAAGGGAGAAGAACTGAGGGTGGGAAAAGGTCTTAGAAACAAAAGGGGGGAAATAAATGATCTCAACAAGGACCTGGGGGGGGGAAAGATCTTAGGGAGGAAAGGCAGAAGATCTGGGGCAAAAAGGCCTTAGGGGCGAAAGGGGAGAAATGATCTCAACAGGGAAAGGGGTGGAAAAGATCTTAGGGAGGAAAGGGAGAAGATCTGGGGAAAAAAGGCCAACAGGGAAAGGGGGGAAAAGATCTTAGGAAGGAAAAGCGAGAAGCTCTCAGGGGGGGAAAGGCCTTGGGAGGGAAAGGGGGGAAAGGATCTCAACAGGGAAAGGGTGGGAAAGATCTTAGGGAGGAAAGGGGGGGGAAGATCTTAGGGAGGAAAGGGAGAAGATCTGGGAGAAAAGGACTTAGGGGGGAAAGCCCAACAGGGAAAGGGGGGAAAAGATTTAGGAAGGAAAAGGGAGAAGCTCTCAGGGGGGGGAAAGGCCTTAGGGGGGAAAGGGGGAAAAGGATCTCAGCAGGGAAAGGGGGGGGGGAAGATCTTAGGGAGGAAAGGGAGAAGATCTGGGGACAAAGGCCTTAGGGGGGAAAGGGGAGAAATGATCTCAACAGGGAAAGGGGTGGAAAAGATCTTAGGGCGGAAAGGGAGAAGATCTGGGAGAAAAAAGGCCAACAGGGAAAGGGGGGAAAGATCTAAGGAAGGAAAAGGGAGAAGCTCTCAGGGGGGGAAAGGCCTGAGGGGGGAAAGGGTGGGAAGGATCTCAACAGGGAAAGGGGGGAAACAATCTTAGGAAGGAAAGGGAGAAGATCTGGAAAGGCCTTAAAGGGAAGGGGGGAAAGGATCTCAACAGGGGGGGGCAAAGGATCTTAAGGAGGAATAGGAAGAAGATCTCAGCGGGGGGAAAGGCCGTAGGGGGGGAAAGATCTCAGTGAGGAAAGGGAGAAGGTCCCAGGCAGGGAAAAGGCCTTAGGGGGGAAAGGGGGAAAGGATCTCAACAGGGAAAGGGGGCAAAGGATCTTAGGGAGGAAAAGGGAGAAGATCTGAAAAGGCCTTAGGGGGAAAAGGGGGAAAGGAGCTCAACAGGGAAAGGTGGGAGAAGATCCTAGGGAGGAAAAGGGAGAAGATCTCGGGGGAAAAGACCTTGGGGACGACAAGGGAGAAGATCTCAGGGGGGGGAAGGCCTTAGGGGGGAAAGGGGGGAAAGGATCTCAACAGGGAAAGGGGGCAAAGGATCTTAGGGAGGAAAAGGGAGATCTTGGGGGGGAAAACGCCTTAGGGGGGAAAGGGCGGGAAAGGATCTCAACAAGGAAAGCGGGGAAAAGATCTTAGGAAGGAAAAGGGGGAAGATCGCAGGGGGAAAAAAGGCCTTAGGGGGGAAAGGAGGAAAGGATCTCAACAGGGAGAGGGGGGAAAACATCGTGGGGAGGAAAAGGGAAAACTCAGAGGGAGAAAGGGCGGAAAAATTGCAAAAGATCTTAGGGAGGAAAAGGGAGAAGATCTCAGGGGGGGAAAGGCCTTAGGGGGGAAAGGGGGGAAAGGATCTGAGCAGGGAAAGGGGGGGAAAGATCTTAGGGAGGAAAGGGAGAAGATCTGGGGGCAAAGGCCTTAGGGGGGAAAGGGGAGAAATGATCTCAACAGGGAAAGGGGTGGAAAAGGTTTTAGGGAGGAAAGGGAGAAGATCTGGGGGAAAAAAGAGGGGGGAAAGATCTAAGGAAGGAGAAGCTCTCAGGGGGGGGAAAGGCCTCAGGGGGAAAGGGTGGGAAGGATCTCAACAGGGAAAGGGGGGAAACAATCTTAGGAAGGAAAGGGGGGGGGGAAGATCTTAGGGAGGAAAGGGAGAAGATCTGACTTAGGGGGGGAAGCCCAACAGGGAAAGGGGGGAAAAGATCTTAGGAAGGAACAGGGAGAAGCTCTCAGGGGGGGAAAAGGCCTTGGGAGGGAAAGGGGGGAAAGGATCTCAACAGGGAAAGGGTGGGAAAGATGATCTTAAGGAGGAAAGGGGGGGAAAGATCTTAGGGAGAAAAGGGAGACGATCTGGGAGAAAAGGACTTAGGGGAAAAAGCCTAACAGGGAAAAGGGGGGACAAGATCTTCGGAAGGAAAAGGGAGAAGCTCTCAGGGGGGGGAAAGGCCTTAGGGGGGAAAGGGGGAAAGGGATCTCAGCAGGGAAAGGGGGGGGGGGGAAGATCTTAGGGAGGAAAGGGAGAAGATCTGGGGACAAAGGCCTTAGAGGGGAAAGGGGAGAAATGATCTCAACAGGGAAGGGGTGGAAAAGATCTTAGGGAGGAAAGGGAGAAGATCTGGGGGAAAAAAAGCCAACAGGGAAAGGGGGGAAAGATCTAAGGAAGGAAAAGGGAGAAGCTCTCAGGGGGGAAAGGCCTTAGGCGGGAAAGGGTGGGAAGCATCTCAACAGGGAAAGGGGGGAAACAATCTTAGGAAGGAAAAGGGAAAAGATCTGGAAAGGCCTTAAAGGGAAGAAGGGAAAGGATCTCAACGGGGAAAGGAGGCAAAGGATCTTAAGGAGGAGTAGGGAGAAGATCTCAGCGGGGGGAAAGGCCTTAGGAAGGAAAGGAGGGAAAGGATCTCAACAGGGAAAGGGGGGAAAGATCTCAATGAGGAAAGGGAGAAGATCCCAGGCGGGGAAAAGGCCTTAGGGGGGAAAGGGGGAAAGGATCTCAACAGGGAAAGGGGGCAAAGGATCTTCGGGAGGAAAAGGGAGAAGATCTGAAAAGGCCTTAAGGGGAAAAGGGGGAAAGGAGCTCAACAGGGAAAGGTGGGAGAGGATCCTAAAGAGGAAAAGGGAGAAGATCTTGGGGGGAAAGGGGGAAAGGATCTCAACCAAGAGACAAGATCTTGGGGAGGACAAGGGAGAAGATCTCAGGGGTGGAAAGGCCTTAGGGGGGGAAAGAGGGGAAAGGACCTCAACAGGGAAAGGGGGCAAAGGATCTTAGAAAGGAAAAGGGAGAAGATCTTGGGGGGGAAAACGCCTTGGGGGGGAAAGGGCGGGAAAGGATCTCAACAAGGAAAGGGGGGAAAAGATCTTAGGAAGGAAAAGGGGGAAGATCGCGGGGGAAAAAAGGCCTTAGGGGGGAAAGGAGGGAAAGGATCTCAACAGGGAGAGGGGGGAAAACATCGTAGGGAGGAAAAGGGAAAAACTCAGAGGGAGAAAGGGCCTTAGGGGGGAAAGGGGGAATGGATCTCAACAGGGAAAGGTGGCAAAAGATCTTAGGGAGGAAAAGGGAGAAGATCTCAGGGGGGGAAAGGCCTTAGGGGGGAAAGGGGGGAAAGGATCTGAGCAGGGAAAGGGGGGGAAAGATCTTAGGGAGGAGAAGATCTGGGGGCAAAGGCCGTAGGGGGGAAAGGGGAGAAATGATCTCAACAGGGAAAGGGGGCAAAGGATCTTAGGGAGGAAAAGGGAGAAGATCTGAAAAGGCCTTAGGGGGAAAAGGGGGAAAGGAGCTCAACAGGGAAAGGTGGGAGAAGATCCTAGGGAGGAAAAGGGAGAAGATCTCGGGGGGAAAGGGGGAAAGGATCTCTCTTCGGGAGGAAAAGGGAGAAGATCTGAAAAGGCCTTAGGGGGAAAAGGGGGAAAGGAGCTCAACAGGGAAAGGTGGGAGAGGATCCTAGGGAGGAAAAGGGAGAAGATCTTGGGGGGAAAGGGGGAAAGGATCTCAACCAAGGGAAAAGATCTTGGGGAGGACAAGGGAGAAGATCTCAGGGGGGAAAGGCCTTAGGGGGGAAAGAGGGGAAAGGATCTCAACAGGGAAAGGGGGCAAAGGATCTTAGGGAGGAAAAGGGAGAAGATCTTGGGGGGGAAAACGCCTTAGGGGGGAAAGGGCGGGAAAGGATCTCAACAAGGAAAGGGGGGAAAAGATCTTAGGAAGGAAAAGGGGGAAGATCGCGGGGGGAAAAAAGGCCTTAGGGGGGAAAGGAGGGAAAGGATCTCAACAGGGAGAGGGGGGAAAACATCGTAGAGAGGAAAAGGGAAAAACTCAGAGGGAGAAAGGGCCTTAGGGGGGAAAGGGGGAATTGATCTCAACAGGGAAAGGTGGCAAAAGATCTTGATGTCAGGGGGGGAAAGGCCTTAGGGGGGAAAGAGGGGAAAGGATCTGAGCAGGGAAAGGGGGGGAAAGATCTTAGGGAGGAAAGGGAGAAGATCTGGGGGCAAAGGCCGTAGGGGGGAAAGGGGAGAAATGATCTCAACAGGGAAAGGGGTGGAAAAGATCTTAGGGAGGAAAGGGAGAAGATCTGGGGGAAAAAAGGCCAACAGGGAAAGGGGGGAGATCTAAGGAAGGAAAAGGGAGAAGCTCTCAGGGGGGGAAAAGGCCTGAGGGGGGAAAGGGTGGGAAGGATCTCAACAGGGAAAGGGGGGAAACAATCTTAGGAAGGAAAAGGGAGAAGATCTGGAAAGGCCTTAAAGGGAAGGGGGGAAAGGATCTCAACAGGGAAAGGGGGCAAAGGATCTTAAGGAGGAATAGGGAGAAGATCTCAGCGGGGGGAAAGGCCGTAGGGGGGAAAGGGGGGAAAGGATCTCAACAGGGAAAGGGGGGGAAAGATCTCAGGGAGGAAAGGAAAAAGATCCCAGGGAGGAAAAGGCCGTAGGGGGGAAAGTGGGGGAAAGGGAGGAAAAGGGAGAAGATCTCAGGGGGGAAAAGGCCTTAGGGGGGAAAGGGGGGAAAGGATCTCAACAGGGAGAGGGGTGAAAACATCTTAGGGAGGAAAAGGGAAAAAACAGAGGGAGAAAAGGCCTTAGGGCGGAAAGGGGGAATGGATCTCAACAAAGAAAGGGGGCAAAAATCTCAGAGGGGAAGGGGGCAAGGGGACAATTCCAAAGGGACGCAAATAAGAAAGCAGGCCTGTAATGTCGGCCTGAGCCGGAGGCGTTAAAATATGTATCAATGTATGTACCAAGATACCTATGTATCTGTGTATCTATCTATCTATCTATCTATCTATCTATCTATCTATCTATCTATCTATCTATCTATCTATCTATCTATCTATCTATCTATCTATCTATCTATCTATCTATCTATCTATCTATCTATCTATGCAGCATGTATGCATGTGTGTGTGTATGTATGTGTATGTGTGACATGCACGTAGCTAAGTAAGTATTTATGTATCTATGTGTGCGTGTGTGTGTGTGTGTGTGTGGGTGTTCGAGAGAGAGCTAGAGAGGGAAAGAGAAAGAGAGAGAGAGAGAGAGAGAGAGAGAGAGAGAGAGTACATGCGTGCGTTTGTCATGTATGTGCGTGTGCTTGTGCGTCTATAGCTATATCTATATCGGCAAATGTATCTAAAACTCTATGCACATATCTCTATACATATCTCTATATATGAAAAACAGTGTATACGTGTGTTTGCTTTTGTGTGGTGTGGATGTGGGTGTGTGGGTGTGTGGGTGTGGGTGTGGGTCTGTGGGTCTGCAGGTGTGTGGTTGTTCGAGTGTGAGTGTATATGCGTGTGTGGGTGTGTGGGTGTGTGGGTGTGTGTGTGTGTGGGTGTGTGGGTGTGTGGGTGTGGGGGTGTGCGGGCGTCGAGGTGTGGGGTGTGGCCTTGTAGGCTTGTGGGTTTGTGGGTTTATAGGTTTAGGGGTTTGTGGGTTTCTGGGTCTGTAGGTTTGTGTTTGTGGGGTTGCGTGTTTATGTGCGTGTGTGCTTGTGGTTTGTGTCTTTGTGTCCTTGCATATGTGTGTGTGAATTGGAGTGCTTGTGTCTTTGTGTCCTTGTATCTTTGGGTGTTTGTGTCTTGTTTACTTTTGTCTTTGTGTCTTTGTGCTCGTGTATGTTCATGTGTTTGTGTCATTGTGTCTTTGTGTCCATGGGTTGTGTGCTTGTGGGGTTTCGCGTGTGGGTGTTTGTGTGTTTGTGTGCTTGTGTGCCTGTGATTGCGCGTTTCTTTGCTTAGGTGTGTATGCGGTTGCGCTGGCTGAATGCAAGCCAAACCAGGGAAACCAGAAAGGGCTGCTTGAATGGAAGGCTTCCAGTCTTAGCATTCAGACAACCGGTCGACTGTGCACAGTCTGTCCTTGACCCACACCGACTGCCGAAACTTCCGGAAACCCTTGATAAGGCCGCCCTCCTGCAACCGAGGCCGCATCGGCGCATGCAAAAATATCCTTTACGCTCCTCTTTCTACTTGTTTGTTGCCCTCCAAGGCAGTCGTACTCATGCCACCCATCTCTTTCAAAGGCAGCACGATCGCGCTTCTGGCTGCGTAACTACCCCCTCCGGCACTTGGACTGATCACGTGCCTCTTCAGCCAGCGGGAAGACACCCGAAGAACCGAAAATGGCCACCTGCACCAGGAATGCAGAGCAAGGCTGAGCTTCAGCTTACAGGCAGGCTCAAGTTGGTCGACCCTTTGAATTGTCCTCGCTTCTCAAAGCTGACTGATCAAGCAACGCCTTCGCCGCTGACTTTGAGAATCCCTTCAGGATCAAATATCGCGTGCACGTGGCTGCCACGATCACCCACAAGTTCAATCCCCCCGATAATTTCTGTTGGCATGCTCAAAAGCTTACTTTCGCCAGGAGCAACTGTTCGGCAAGTTAAAATTAACGTTTTGGAGGCCTTGAAAGGAGCACCTCCACACACATCCACAAATACAGAAGAGTTGTCATGAGAAAATCAAATTCCATCCCTTGTGCTCGTCCGCCGCCCAATACCCCGAACCCCTGCCTCAACATCAGCCTCTGCCTCCTTGCGGTAAGGCCTCAGCTGCTGAGATGAATCCCTGGGTCGCGCCTGCGGCTAATCCCACCATGTCCAGGAGAAGTTTATGTGTCATGTGTGTGTGTGTGTGTGTATGCGTGCTTGTGTGTGTATGTGCGTTTCGGCCTAGATGGTCATACATGAATGCATGTGCAACTGTAACTAAATGCCCGTAGAACTGGGTATGTTAATAAACAATGAACGGACAAACAAACGGATGAACGAAGAAATGAGGGAATGCAAGAAGGATACAAATATAATGGATGCAGGATGGGATGAGCTGGGCTGGCTGAACTGATGGGATGAAATGGAGTGGACGAATCCAGGAACGAGCAAACAAACGAAGGAACGAAGGATCCAAGGAACGAACGACCCAACCCAGGAACTAAGGAAGGAGGAAGGAAGGAAGGAAGGAAGGAAGGAAGGAAGGAAGGAAGGAAGGAAGGAAGGAAGGAAACAAGGAAGGAAGGAAGGAAGGAAGGAGGAAGAAAGGAAGGAAGGAAGGAAGAAAGGAAGGAAAGAAAGAATGAATGTATGCACGCATGCATGTATGAACGAACGAACGAACCAATGAATGAATGGACAAATGAATTAGTGAATGAATGACTGAATGAAGAAAAACAACCTTAAAGAAAAACAGATAAACTCAGGTAATATCCCCAACAGCGTACGGTGCTCTTTTTAGCCACCCCGCAGCCCTCGCAAAACCTCATGGAACCCTCGTGGAGCCCTGGCAGAACCCTGGTGGAACCCTCGTGAAGCCTTACCTCAGGGCCGCCCCGGACCACCCCGGAGCCTATCTGGGCTGAAACCCCAAAGCTTTCAGCTGTTAGGGGAAAAAAATGACAAATAACATGGAAAACCGGATGAATTAAAAAAAAAGACAAAAAAAAACAAAAAAAAAAAAGAAACAAGTAAATGAGATAAATACTCCATGAGAACCTCGTGGAACCCTGCTGAACCCTGGTGGAACCCTCGTGAAGCCTTACCTCAGGGCCGCCCCGGACCACCCCGGAGCCTATCTGGGCTGAAACCCCAAAGCTTTCAGCTGTTAGGGGAATAAGTAAATAAAGTGAATAACAGAAGAAAACAAAGACAAATAACATGAATAATCCTCAAAAGAACAACATAAGCAGATATAAACAAGTAAAGTAAATATCATTTACAATGATTATATCAGAACAACAAGTAAACAACATAAATAAATAAATAAAGTAAATACTATTTACCATTAGTAAAAGTCATGAATAAATACATAGACAAAGTAAACAACATGAATATGAGTTGAGCCAGAAGTAAACAAGCAATAAAACAAAAAGAATGGCATACATAGCAAAGAAGCAAATCAAAAACCATAAATAAGTACGCAAACTAGATATATGAATAAATACATTTAATATATGAATGAATGAATAAACATGTGTATACATATATATATATATATATGGTACAGCGTTGCCAGCCCCCCCACCCACCCACCCCAATGGTCATGGGTCAGACAAGTACCCCCCCCTGTGGTTGTGGTCCTGTGGTTGGGTTGTGGTGGTTTAGGGTTGGTTTAGGGTTGGTTTAGGGTTGGTTTAGAATTGGTTTAGGGTGTATTTAGGGTGTATGTATGGTTAGTTTAGGGTTAGTTTAGGGTTGGTTTATGTTGATTTAGGATTGGTTTAGGGTTGGTTCAGGTTTAGGGTTTATGGTTTAGGGTTTGGTTTAGGGTGTATTTAGGGTTAGTTTAGTGTTGGTTTATGTTGATTTTTCAGGTTTAGGGTTTATTGTTTAGGGTTTGGTTTAGGGTGTATTTAGGGTTAGTTTAGGATTAGTTTAGGGTTGGTTTATGGTTGGTTGCGGGTTGGCTTGTCCTAGGAGTGGGGGATGCCGGGGTGTCGGGGTGCGAATTCAGGGGTCGGGGTGGGGGTGGGACCGTAGGTGCCAGTATCCGGGGCGGGCTCGGGGGGGGGGGGGGGGGGTTTTTGGGGGGACCATACCATCTGGGCGGGGGGGGGGGGGGTAGCAACACGGAACACGGTACCATATATAAGTAAAAGACACATCATAAGCAAACAAAAACAAAACAAATGAATGAAACAAAAAACATGCAGAGGATAGGCATGTGTTGGGTGGAAATTGATCCAACTCGGCAAATAGCAGACATGTGCATATCAAGCCTCAGGGCAATTCAGCTGCTTTTGTGCACCTCCAAGCGGAAGAGCCAAAGAAAATAGGCAGATCTCCTTCATGGGCCTCGCTATTTTTGGGCGTAACTGGAGGCTCCCTTCCAATAAGCATTCGAGTTGGAGGAAACTCACTCCAAGATTGGACTTTGCAAATAAAAAGTGATCTTGAGAAGCAATCTTGAAAGGGAAATATGGGTGTGTCTTTGCTAGGCATCGTTGTAGGTTGGGGGAATCAAGAAGAAGCTTGCGCCCATACGTCCTGAGGGAGACAAACCCATGTAGAACTTGTTGGACTCGGAGGGAAAGAAAAGAGAAACGAACCAGGATGCTTGCCCCTCCCCCCCCACCCCCCACCCCCCACCCCCCACCCAACCAAGAGGGCCCAGAACCGGGCGCCTGACAGCTGGTCAAAGAGCCAGGGGTGGAAGAGGAGATTCACCTCGAGTTTCACTCTGGTCCTTCGTGAGGAGAGGGAACCCAAAGCGAAACCACCCGTTGTGAGGGGTTTCTCTTTTTTGACCAAAGGAATTTCGGCGAATTAAAACCCACAAGAGAAAAGTAAAGAATCAAAAAGGCTTCTTGCTACACCTAGCCATTGCTGGTACTGTCCCCTTTCACTTACCCGGGTCTTCATTGTGACTCAGTTCCCTCAAGTAGAAACCCACAGCTTGAAGGCAAAAAGAAAGGGAAGGAAGCCAACACTTACAGTCCCCATTTCGACCGAGAGCCAAACGAAGGAAGGCTTCCGGCAAGGAGGAGCGGAGCCGGGGCGAACGCGCGTCTTGGCTTCCAGCCGAGTATGGCAATTGCTTCTTGTAGAGCCAGTCCCGAAGGTCCTCGCCGCATTTCGGCGGTTTGCGCTCGGTAAATGCTTCGCCGGGCTTGTGGGCTTGGCAATTCTTGCGACACGTCCGACCCACTGGCGTTCGAGGTACAAGGAACAGCCTGCCGTCCAGCTGTCAAAGTTTCAGGGACCTTGGGCATTCTTGTCTCAGAAAGAATCTGCTGGCAAGATTAAAACCGCTCTTTCATTCGAACTCGCCAATCGTCTCACTCGCGCCGGCAGTCCTGCATGTCATAGAGTGCTAGCACCACCTGTCGCAAACCAAAGCGGAGAGAGAAGTAGCAAGGGCACACGTGGAACCGTGGAGCAATCCCCCCTTGACCTACCTTGAGGTGTCACTCCCGAGTTTTCTCCACGAATCGAAACATCGCAGTGGATGCCCAAGGGCCCCACCTCGACATCCATGACCCCATCACGGCGCATGATGAGGTCGAAGCCCTCGGGCGGGATCTTCTCGTGGGGCTCCTCTCTGTAGCCGGGTGCAATGGTCACTGGCAAGAGAGAAACAAAGGAGCTGGGTCACTGGCTCTCTCTCGGAAGTTCCGAGCCCTTCTGGGGAGACCCAGAAGTACAGCCGAGCTGCCGTGAAACGGCCCTGCCGAGTTCTGCCGACCCTCGTCCTTGCGACAAAACAGACACCGGGGAAACGAATGAAGCCAAGAGACCAGTGGAGTGGAGTCCATCTATTTTCAACCAAACTGACCTACAAGGACACCCATACGATGCAAGCCGCAGAGCGGTTGAGCAGCAAAGCGACAAGAGCCGCGGCTCCCGATTGAAACGCACCGCTGAGAGGACCCGGGCCAGCTTGTAGTCCTGCAAGGCTTCCAAGAAGTATCAGCTACAAACTGTCACCAATATCTTCTCTCTACAACTGCCGAATTCCTGGAAATTTATGTAACATCTGGCAGTCGGTCCGTCCTGGCCATTGTTGTAATGCCCAATCTGTGGCACACAGCCCTCAGTTGAGACGTTCTCAAAATGGGCGCTTTGCCACCGCAAGCATCCGAAACAGGTTTGCTGGTTTCTCGTTCAAGCTTCAGCAAACTACTTCAAGGCACAAGCACGCACTGCCAACCTGCCTTACCCGATGCACACACTCGAGGCGCTGGCCAATTTCAGGGCTGGACATACCTGGATACCCAGCAAAGATCACGGAGCATGTAAAACAAGTCTTCAAGGTACTATTGGCCCGTGTCCGTCAACCCAATATAAAACTATCGCTCACCCCGAACCTTCACTGATACTAATGATAGCGCAGCTCGGGTTCGGATTCCAACAAAATCATTTCCACCAGTAGAGCAGATTTACGACAAGCATTGCCTTCCCTCCTGCCGAGCACCCTTCTCCCAAGCAGGGCACTGCTTCCAGCCCAGATTGAAACATGGGCAAATCTGCACCAATGTCAAGGCATTCCCGGATCAGGTTGCTTTGTTCCGATCAAGGGTTGGTTGTTTTCGCATATTATATTGTGGATTCTTTGCCTGCATAATGTTGCGAAATGCTTGGAATTGTCCAAGTTTTGTTGTTTTCTTCGAGTGGTTGCCGGATCACCATGTCTGAATGGCTACACAGTCTGCCTTGAGCCAGATTGTCAAGCATAGGTTTCACTGTTGACCGCACAAGTCCGTCTTACTGCGATGATCTGCGTTCGGTCTCAAAAAAAGAGTGTACACATGCATGTACATACGCATGCATTCATGTGGGTCTACAAAAGAACATTCATGTCAGTAGCTTTCTACATCAGTCTAACTGGCCAATGAATCTATTTCATGAAACTGATCCTTGAAGGCTGGGCCCCAACAACAAGTGAAAATAATCCCAAGTCCACTGCCAACATTGAATGCACCAAAAAAATACTGAATCGTTTGCGGGCTTAAACAATGTGTCGAGATTTCATCCAGGTATTTATTTGCTTCTATGTTTGCTTCTTTGCGAAGTCTTTGTTGTTTTCACTCCTGGTGCTAAAACGGTGGATTTTGCGGCATTTTCACGCAAAAAACACTCACAAGCTGTGTAGCAACCCTTTCAAAATCACTGGCAGAAGGTTCGGTGGTTTGCAAAGTTGGGTGTAGGTTTGGTTGGTTTGGATGCGCTTTAGGTGCCGGGACGGTTTAGTGCTGCCTTATGGTGGGTGAAGGTTGGTTTGGGGTGGGTTTAAGGTTGGTATAGGGTTTGCTTCGGGTTTTCTTTAATTAGAGGCTGCGTGCAGTACTCCTAATCTGAATGCCCCAAAAGCCGAGTGCTTATCACCCAGAGTATACTTCTTGGGAACCCACCGCCCACCCTGTTACGGCTACTTACACCGCCCTGCATTCAAAAGAGTAAAGTAGCCTTTACCTGCTTGCAACCCCAAACCCGCACCGCTGTGCATAGAACTATTATTCGTCACCTTCTTTCTTCAGTTTCACAAGCGGGGTAAAAGCATCCCACTCAAGTGTTGAGGTCGCGCACCGCCGTGGCGCCGCTTTCCCAACCTGCAACCCGGTTGGACAAGGAGCTCGTGTAGGGCTATCAGGCTCCACGACAGATCGAGCCCATAACAAAGGGCAGTCGAAGCCCTAAGCGTTGGAGGCTACGCGCACTGCTCCAAACCCGAGGAACAAGCGACGCAAAGGCGCTTGTTTCTAACCGGGTTGCCCGAGCGTCTCAGGTCAACACAGAGCGGGATGTTTTCACGCTCGTCAGTGGCCTGCGCACCCCGAATCCAACTGCGCCCCCCCCACCTCAACACGGGTTGCGAAAACGTTGTGCATTCCACAAAACGCACTCTAACTGTTTCAATCCGAAAGGAACATGCAGCAAAAGAAACAAGAGCACGACCGACAAACCTGTGCGCATGCTCTTTTTCTTTATAGGGCGTTGCTTGGAAGTTAAGGCTCGGGGGTGCGGGGGGAAAACCAGCGCGTGTCCTTTCCCCGGGTCTGCACCCCTCTGTGGAGCATTCTCAAATGCCCCCGTGGTCAACCATGCGTGTTCGACCAGGCGCCAGGTGTGCTACCTGTGAGGCGTGAAACAATCGAAGGCATTGGTGGCGGCCGGATGCAATGCGTGCATCCGGCTGGCACACGGTGCCAGGTTGAGACCTGTCGAAACAGTCATGTGTCGGCAGGATGCAATGCGTGCATCCGGCTGGTGTGCAATGCGGCACACGGTGCCAGATAGACACCTGTCGAAACAGTCACTGCGTGCCCGGGCATGCTGTGCACAATGCCTCCGGGGCTGGGCCCTGGAGGTTGCAATGCGCGCATCTGGTTAGTGTGCAACGTGGCACACCGTGCCTCTCTCTTTAGAGGGGGTTTCCCAAATGGATTCTATTCTACCTGACAGGCTCCTGGCACTCGTCCGTCCAGGAAACGACCTTGTCCTGCGAAGGATTCGAAACCTAAAACGTGTGGCTGCAACATAACGACCCCTAGATATGCTTGCAAAATGCCCCGCAGCTGCGTTTCTGCAAGGCGAGCTAAAAAAACAGGGAAAAAAAAGAAAGCCAGCCAGAAAGCCAGCCAGAAGCCAGCCACAACCAGCCAGAAAGCCAGCCAGAAGCCAGCCAAACCAGCCAGGAGCCAACCAGAAAGCCAGCCAGAAAGCCAGCCAGAAGCCAGCCACAACCAGCCAGAAGCCAGCCAGAAGCCAGCCAAAGCCAGCCAGAAGCCAACCAAACCTCTTTTTTTGATAGCCAGAAGCCAGCCAAAAGCCAGCCAGAACGAAGCCGCGGAGCCGGCCTCGCTCCAAGACCGAAGCCGCACAGCCGGCCTCGCTCCAAGACCGAAGCCGCGCAGCCGGCTCGCTTTCAGGTCACCCACGGACTGTGTCACGGGGTGACACGTACTTGCGGAAACTTGCCCCAACGCCTTCAGGCCTCCGATCCGAGGAAGTCTGAGAAGCGGCTAGCTCTTTGGCCGACGCCTTAGCCACTGGACTATGTAAACATGTTTGAAGGACCTGTCACCGGCAACCACGGCAGCAGCCCTGGCCACCACAGACGGGCAGGTGGCCGCGCACGGCAGCAGCATCGCTACGCTGCACAGCTCGCTGACCACGGGTCTCTCCAACAAGGCAGACCAGTCGGCCTTCAACGCGGACGGCGTGGACCTGAAGCTGTCGAACAACAGCACCACGGCGGCCATGAACGGCTCCATCGCCTCGACCAACAACGCCACGCTGGCCACGGTGGCCGCCAACTACAGCCTCAAGACGGTGGTGGACCAGCACTCCCTCGACATCGCTGCGAGGATCACGCCGCTGGAGGTCGACACCAAGGTGGCCAACGCTCTCCTGGGCGTCGTCACCGCCGCAGCGCTGGCCTCCAAGCTCGCAAGCCGAGACGCCTCCATCTTGGGTTTGCAGGCCTCCAAGGCGGACGCCAGCGCCCTGACCGCGTACGCCCTGCTGTCGGCACTTCCTCTAAGATAGGCGGACGCCAGCGCGCTGGCCGCCCTGCTCTCCACGGTGGACGGGTTGGACACTCCACTGGAGGTGGACACCGAGGCCTTCGTCGCAGCGCAGCTTGCCAGCCGTGACGCCAGCATCTCGGCGCTCAGGGCGCCAAGGCCGACGCGACGCTGCTGGCCTCGTACGCCACGAACGCCGCGCTCTCCGCCAGCGAGACCACGCTCCAGAGCGCCCTCGACGATCCTCGCGGAGCTCTGCAGCGCCGGGCGGGCTTCACAACTTGGGAGCTCAGCGTTCCGAGCGCGGCGTCGACCCAGTAGAGGTAGCGGCCCCGTCCGTGGACAGGAAGCTGTCGGCCAACCGGATCTTGTAGACGGCCAGCCGGTCGCTCTGCAGGTGCAGCGACTCTCCCAGGTCGACCTCGAAGTCGCTGTCCGAGCCGGCCACCCTTGATAGTTGTCATCCTTTTCTTTAGGAAGCCGCCCGTTTGACGGATGACGGGCGGCTGGACGGCTGCAACGGAGGTGCAGCAGGAGATGTTCTCACACTTCGCGTTGATCAGAGTGGAGCTGGCGAACAGCTTCTGGCCCAGGAAGCTGAGCGCCGCACCCATCCGCGTTTTCAATTACAAAGCGCTCTTCGAAGCGCTTGTAGAACATTTCCTTCTTCGACTTCAGGTAGTAGACGAAGAGGAAGCTGTAAGGTTCTCGTGTCGCCTGCTCGTACAACTGGTACAGTTGCTCCTTCGGCAGCTCCTCGACGACTGCGTCCAGCTCGTGCTGGTTGCGCAGCCTCCAGCAGCAGAGGAATTGGATGTTGACCCGCACGGCTGCGCTGATGAGCCTCAGCTTCTGGGAGCTCACCCAGGCGCTGATCTGCGTGCGACGGCCTTGGATGAAGAGCGTGTCAAGGGCGCCGTTGGCCCTGTAGCTGCGGCATGTCCGCCATGTCGTCCAGGATATTCAGGACCTGGTACAGTTTCTTCATCTCCAACTTCTTGGACGTTTCCGTGATCTTGCGCTGCTGCTGGATGATAATGCTCCGCAGCGCCGGCTCGTCCCAGTCCTCCCAGTAGGCCTGGCTTTCTCCACGTTCACCCCCAGGTCCTCCTCTATGTACTTCTTGACGGGGACCCAGCCATCGTCGATGTTGACACTTGTGCTGAAGATGTAGATTCTCTCAAACACGCCCCTGTACTGCTCCAGAATCAGGCTGATCCGAGCCACGGTCTTGCCCGACTTGCTGGGCCACAGGATCCGAGGATTGTTTCACTGATTGTGTTCAGGGTCCCAGATCCATGCGGTTTAGACCTTACCTCAATTTATCTCAAATTATCTCAAATTATCTCAAATTATCTTATTTTTGCATCTAATGTGCAAAAAATGCAAAAAATGCAAAAAAGATGCAAAAAAGTGCACAAACATGCCCAAAAGTGCAAAAACATGCAAAAAAAGTGCAAAAACATGCAAAAAAGTGCAAAAACATGCAAAAAAGTGAAAAAATACCAAAAAACACAATGCAACAAAATGCAAAAAACTGCAACAAAGTGCAAAAAAATGCAACAAAATACAAAAATGCAAAAAGAGGGCAAAAACAATGCAAACATACATGACACAAATGCAAACAAGGACAAACACATGCAAGAACATACAACATGCATTAAGTGTGTGTCACTCAATTCTATAATAATGATTATTTTTATTGTTGCATCAGTGAGTCGCAAGTCATCATGAGCGCACGTTAGCGCCAGCAACGTTGGACCATTCCATTGTCCATCATCATTATTCATTCTTGACGTCGCTGGCGAGCCAGCTCAAAAAAATACTCTGCCATGCGTCAAGTCAAGCAAGGACAGCGGCACGGATCACGGTCATCATCTTCACAGATCGTTGGACTGGGGTATTCTTGCACATAAGTCGAATCAAAGTTCGAGCAATGGGAGCAATGCATTGTCTTGCGATTGTCGTTGATGATCATGAGCACTGCGCCACGCATGCCAGTAACAAAGGTCACAGGTTCCCGATTGACTCGCAGAGAT